CAGAAGTTGCCAGAAGATCAGAAGAAAGAATCAAAAGCTTATCAGTAGCAATAAGGGGATTGAGTGGATCATACAAAGAACTTCAGATTCAAGAACAGTTCAGATGAGTCCAGACACGTTCAGGACATGTTTGCACATTTTAGGCATCAGCCAAACACCAAATGTAATAATGTGCTTGGTCCTTACAGTATGGTGAACCCTGGACCGAACCCATGGTCTGGTTTGGAAGTGTTCAGGTCCAAACCGAAGTTCAGAACCAGACTGTGGCAGCACTATTTAAGATAGACCTTGTTCATACACTGGTTCTAGTGCTGCCGTGGTCCGGTTCGGTCAGGTTCACAGAGGGATGAGCAAGAACCAAGAACCGGACCTAGGTCTGGTTCTACCAGACTCGACGAACCCCGAACTGGACCTTTACGAACGGTTCGGAATGGTCAGGTCCGGTTATTTTCATGTTCAAACGTGAACTGAACCCGATTTTTTTTACAGTGAGCAAAAAGAAAATGTAGATATTTTACAGTGCGCAAAAAAATGTAGATAGAACTTGTACTCATAGCTACACATCCAACATGGCTGCTTCTGCCTCAACCTTTGCGGAAACATGGCCATTCTTGTATGCTGCCTTCAATAGCTGCAGCAAGCTGAATGTGGATGCTGCAAGTCCATTGCGTCGAACAGTAGAAGTGATCCCTCCGCTCAAAAAAGCGTGTTCGGAGGGGACAGAGCTTCCTTGAATGGGCAAGTAGTCTCGTGCAATGCGTGCTAGAGTAGGATACTGCAATGAGTGAAGCTAAGGAACCATTTAAGTAGCAAATAAACAGGTCATGATGAGATTACTTACACCCCACCAGGCAACAATGTTGTCAGCTTGCTCTAGCGGTGAAGACAGATACATCGTGAGTTCTTGATGAGGATTATGAGCGCGTTGGTCTGCGGCTTGACGGGTTTTGATGGCCTCGCGCATCCATGCGTCACCGTACCGATTTTCATGCAAGGGTCTTGTTGGCGGAGCGGGTTCTTTGGCAGGTGCCCAAGTTGGCGGTTTATAATACTTGTCAAACTATAAACATAAGTTCAGGAAGGATAATGAGCAGTCAGAACTAATACTACTTACCACAGCCTTGAGGTGAGCCCTCCCGTTTGCAATGTCTCGAGTGTCCCATTGATCTTCGACATAGGCAAGTTTGTAGTTGGGGTCAAGGATTGTGAATATAATTTGATGTGCATGCAACATAGAAAATAATATTAACGCTTACTGAGACAAATGAAATATACATTGGAGTCACTCGTTTTCTTGTAGTACTTGTCGACGTTCTTGAGTCCGTGCTTGATTGCATCTGCGATCGGCGCGTACTGGTCATTGTTTGCCATCTCTTGCCACCGGTCCGCAAGGCATTCCAATGTTGGGATCATTTGCGACGCAGTTGGGTGTTTCGCAGATGAGAATGACTGCTGGGCAGTAGCTGGTTCCTTCAGGACTTGATGAACGAGCGTGAGGTGTTTCCAATCATTCTGATCGAGCTTGAAATCATTGTAAGACTTGTTGTGAAGATTCGGTACTTCTTTACTTTCGTCGGCGAGGTTCGTGAAGTGGTTCACAGCCTGTTCAATTATAAATATCAAACTGATGAACACTGATTGGTAAAAAAAAAGACTCACCCGACGTAAGAGTAGCATGCGATCAAGACACTTGTATAGAGAAGCCCAGCGAGTCCTAATCCACTGCAATAACTCGAGTGCGGGGACGTTCTCTTCTTTGCAGGCCTTCTTGAAGAAGGCACGAGCTTGAGGCGATTTTCGAATCTAACAATACCAGTCAGTAAGAGTATAGAATAGTAATGTAGTACTTACCTGCTCAATGAGCGCAAGGGCTTTTCCAAGCGAATCCCCAGTGTCAAACACATCATCCTTCTCACAATCACCATTTACTTCCATGGCTGCAAGCTCCTTATTCAAAATGTCGAGCTCATTGTCGTTCCCTGTATCGAGCGCCTGATGGATCTTCTTCATAAGCGCAGCTTGAGGAGTAGGTGCAATGGCATCTACAAAGTGTCGTGTGGCAAGGTTCAGTATGTGCTCCTGGCATCTGATGCGGTGCGTGGCAGGTATCCACTGGACACCCTCTGGATCAATTTCATGAGCGACCTCCTTCATTGCGGTATCATTGTTGCTCGCATTGTCAGAGGTCATCCACCCAAGCTATATGAATCATTAGCCTTGTTGCAGGATTGTAGGCCAGACCTTACCTTTTCTTGGAGGTTATATGTGTCAATTGAGTCAATAAGCATACGAGCAATGTTTTGCCCGCTGTGATTGCCCTCGATATGTGCGAAACTAAGCTGCTCACGACGTAACTCCCATTGCTGGGGTTTATCATCTGGACTCCAAATATAGTGACCGGTGACGGAGAAAAACAGGTTGCCGATGATCGAAGTCCAGGAGTCGAATGTCATAGAGACTTTGCTATCAACTTTAGCAAGACGCTCACGTATGACATTGACTATGGCTTCTGCGTGTGCCTTGATGGTCTCAGTGAGCTTCGTGCAGTGAGGGATATCATGTTCAGTAAGGCCAGAGCGAACATAGTGAAGTAGGTTTCGGAATGCTGGTTTGTCGACCAGCTGTAGCGCCTCGTCTTCGGTCACAATGAACTCCATTATGTACTCTAGGAGACCGGCCTTGGTGAATGTAGGCGCTTTGGTGATGAGTATACTATCAAGGGTAGATTGCCTCGAACTGTCAATTATTTAGTGCCGTGTTATACAAAAGATTAGTTAAAACTCACAGCGCCTGATCCTCAGCTGGAATAGCGCGAGGGTGCATTGCAATTCCTGCAGCTTGACAATGAGCCTTGTAGAGTTGAAAGTGGTTTTTTTGCTGATAGATATGTGTTAGTGTGAAACATCAAGAGATGAAAGGACATGAACGTACCGATTAACGTGAGTGCGGAGTGTAGAGATTCCTCCTCGAAATATGTGCCTGCTCTCAGGTTTACCAGCATCCCTATCAAATATCAGTAGGAAACAATGCACACAGCACTAACTACGTACTTGCAAGGGTTGCATACCCAGTGCGTTTCATGGCGAGTGAAGGTGGTGCGAATGTCAGCAGTACGTTCGCTCTTTGCCACTTGCACAACCATGGGTTCAGCGCCGTCCTCAGTTTCAGCATGGTCCTCCGGTTCGGATTCATCTTTGGCTGCAGGCTGGTCAGCACCAGGCTCCAAAGGATCAGTATCGTTGCCAGTGTCATCATCAAGGCTATCATCATCAAATGAAGATGGTATAACTTTCTTGCGGGCTGGTTGAATTTTGTTAGCGCTGGATAAAGCACGTTTTCGGCTTGTCGAGGAATAAATGTTCTCAGTATCCCACAGGCGAGCAGATGGCTTGGACGTGCGAACAGATCGTCGAGAACCAGCTATAACTGGCACTGGTTTGCAACCTGTGAGAGTAGGCGCAGAGGAAGGAGTCGGTGCAGAGGAAGGAGTAGATAGTGGGACAGTATCATCAGGATCATGATAAAAGATGATGTCCTTAGCATCCTTAAGAGATCCATCAGTATTGAGGGCGCATGCGTCAGATTCAGACATGATGATGAGTGAACTCACCTGGTGCTTGCTCCTTTTAACTGCTAACAAAGTGAACAACCGCTCTCCAAGGCCATATACATTGGAGGGTCGCGAAAACAGCCCATTCGAGAGCCGGGGGTGCGGGATGCGAGCCTCCGGAAAGAATTCAAAGTCGTCGCAAATCCTGAGGATCCCAATGACCATGGGGGCAGAAGTTGAAGTTGAGCCGAAGTCAAAGTGACCATTACTAGTAGTGTGTGCCTCACCGATAACATGAGGATGCTGCGGTTCGGGGTTCGGAACGGTTCGGGAAGGTCCAAACCTATGTCCGAACTGTTTGGGTGATGGTGGACCGCGAACCTCTTTCAGGTCCGGTCCGTCCAAAACTTGGAACCATGGACTGAACCAAGGACGAACCTGACCAATGGTCAGGTTCGAACCACGGCAGCACTAACTGGTTCATCACACGACTTAGTGTGACTTTTCAACAAAATTATATATAACTCATTATATACAAACCATGAGTGAAATCTGTTCCATGGTTATGTGCAGATAGTCTGTAGCAAGCTGGGCATGTATTTTTATGATGTAATGTAAGAAACTAAGAGACGAGTAGGCTTTATATTGTCATACTAGTGTGACAGGCATGCTAGACAGTCACAAATGGGTCACAAAGGTAAATTGGCTACCAAAAAGCCTACTCCTCCATCAATTGGCCGAAAATAGGAATTCTGAGTAGACCATTTTAATATTGTAGCATGTATCTACAAGATCATGGAATAGATTTTTCTAATTCTAATTTGAAGTTGAGTTACGAGCCAAAATCATGTATTGTGGGCTCAAGTCACGTGATGAACCGGTGTAAGGTCTATCGTAAAATCATCGGAGAAATAGTATTTGGTAGTATGTGGTCTGTGGCTGTCGGATGCCAGGGGCTCTCTTTGCCGCGGGAGGGTTTTCCTGCCTACTGTGGTAAACTAGCTAGTAGCGACCAAGCTGTACGTATGGCGCACTGTACATATCCGGACAGAGCCTGGTAATTTGCTGATGGCCGAGACCGAAACAGAGAATCGACATCTATTTCTGCTGCAGCCAGTTGTGCAATGGCAAGGAACTCGTGCCGTTTACTAGATGTTGACTGATGGTACTACTTTAAGGGCTGGTGTCCGAGACATCGTAGACGCGCCATGAATGCATGATTTATGATATGTTGAGTACTAGAGAATCCCCACACTCGCATTGTTCACTGCGTCGAAGACCTGAACAACATAAGTACCTTCAGTCTCATTCCACAGCAATATTATAACACTCATTTTCTATAAAAAAAATGAAATAAGAGACATGAAATCTAATCGAGCGGGTGCTATCAGAAGAAACACGATTATTGACTATTGACTGCATCTAACTTGAAGTGCAATAGCTATAATTTTTAGTGGGTCTGAGAGAGGATCACGGACGTCTTCCTGCCTCTCCCATTTCCAATGACCTCCCAGTTCTTCAACGAAATCATCGCTTCATCCTTCATCAACTCCAACGCGTGTTCGACGTCGCTCTCCAAAGTCTTTTCAGACCCGATCACCATCCTAATGCAAAACACCCCATTCAAGTCCGTCTGGGTGATCGCGATATCATTCCGTGCTGCAAGCCGTGCGTAGAAAGCGCGGTTCAAAGTATTGAGCTCGGGAGTCCTGAGGTGAGGAAGGGCCTTTGGTGCAAGCCTGAAGACTGTGATGGCAAGGGAAGGTTTGGTGACGACAGAGAATAAGTCGGATTCGTATATGCTCTGTGAGAACTTGTTGTTCAACTTGATGCACTGGCAAGACAGCGCCAAATATCAGTATGGATCAGAGGATGACGATGACGATTAAGTTGACGTACGTCGGTGATGTACTTTTGGATGCCTTTCACCCCCCGTGCACGAAGACCGAACCAGAATTTGAGCGATCGGAACCGTCTGCCAAGGCCTACGTGCCAGTTGCGGTAATCGATAGCGGTGGCTATACACATTCGTCGTTCAAGCAACGGCAAATAGTTATAACAAGACTTAGAAACATACCTGCATTCCCGTTCTTCGCCCTCAAAAATTCGGGCGTGATGTCTAGCGCGTCGATCAGATGTTGCCGGTGCCGCACCCACAAACAAGATCCATCAAAGTGGATGAGACCCCACTGCAGAATGTCGATGAGCTCAAGACTGATGCCACGGAACAGGAGTAAACAAACCTTGTGGAAATTGGTGCAGAAAGAGTCTACATATTCATTTATGGCAGGAAGTTGGTACGCCTCGCGATATTCGGGACACGCGAATGCGACGCCTGCCCATGCAGCATCGACGTGCAGCCACAGGGAAGGGTAATGTTTCGCTACGCGTAAAATTGAAACTTAAGCAGATTTAACATCATGATCAGTATACATACCGACATCAGCAATCTCGTCGAGCCGATCGACAGCGCCGGAAGATGTCGTCCCCACCGTACCGACTGCAGAACAAGAGAAATGAACTTCAAGACAGTGATCCATGCAAAGAACATACTCAGGATGAAAGGGTGTAATCCGGCTTTTATATCCTCCTCCAATGCTACCTTGAGCGTGTCTCCACGCAATGCAAAGTTATCCTGAGCTGTGACGTCTAATGCGCGCACTGTGAGACCCAAGACGAGCCCGGATTTCTTCCCAAGCGAGTGGGTTTGGGTAGTGGTATAGATCACGAGTTTCTCCATCGCCACATCAGGGTGCTCACGAATGTATCGTGAACGTGCAGCGACAGTCGAGACTAACACAGAGTCAGATGCTGACGTCTATGCACGGTGATCAGTATGAATTAACAATGTGAGGGGATGAGGACAGACCTGAATGACGCCGCCGCCGACCTCGGAGATGTTGTAGAACGCCTTATCGAGCCCGAGTAATTGAGCGGTCCAGTCCATGACCACGGCCTCAAGCTCTGTGCATGCGGGGCTCGCAGCCCACTACAAAAAGTTACAAAGACAGCGTAAGGGTTGCGTTAGAGAGACGTACGTTGAATCCAGGGTTAGACGTGCTAGACGCGTATAGTTCTGCAAGTATGCCCTCGAATGTGCTTGACGTAGGGAAGTATGCATAGAACGAGGGGTGTTGCCAGTGTGTCAGGACCTGTCAGTACCGAATGAGATATGTCAATTGTGCAATGGAGTCGAGTTCAAGTACCAGGTATGATGTATTTTTGATAATCATCCGCGATGAGCTGGAAGTCTTCGCCTTCAATGGGGGCGGAGGCTGCACTCGTCATAATGAGAAGGAAGCGCGACGAAGAATAAAAAAAGCATACACGGAAGCAGCTTTCTGAGGTATCCTGGCTCGACTTGGGATGAGACAGGCCTATCCCTCAAAGTGTCATGGTATTCGCATATCCTGTCGATGGCTTGATAGCCAGCTTTGCGGAATCTGGGATACACATCAGATATGACCAAGGACAGATCTAACAATTGCAGAACGTACTGTTCAGTATTCATGACGAGTGCAAATTGTGAGTTAGGTAGGAGTTAGCTTGGACTCTGGAGCGGAGGAAAGATATACAGGTGGTTGTGTGTAGTTCGAACCTCTGTTAAACTGGCCTGTCTTTATAGCCCCACTCGATTCCATTTTTTGAGCGAACGAGTGTCGGAAACAAAAAATAAAATGATATTATTTTTTTTCGATATTGGTGCCCACCGCTTCATGAAACTTGAGATATGCGCTATGCTAAATCCATCGTGCAATCGATAGATATTAGGCATCGGGGATGTCGTGAGTCTCCCAAGGACGCTTTACGTTACACGACTGCGGTCTACTAGTAAATCAGCAAAACCGCTAAAATGAACGCTTAACTTGAAGCGTCTTGCTGACACTTGTAAATTTTTACGACTTCAGTTGATGGTGACTCATCTGATTGGTTGAGAGCTCGAACGCCGAAACGAGATGCTGACGGAGGTTTCAGATGAAAGTTACTTGTACCACATCTGCAGGGTAGGGTGCTCCTCGATCAGGGTGGTCCACCACATAGTAGTCGTCCGAGTCAGTCGCATCATGAACGTAATCTGTGGCGTCGTCATCCTGACTAGCATCACCAGTGCTCATTGAAACTTTGGATTAAGGAGGGGTAGAGCCAGAGATATTTCAGTATCTAGTACTGGATTCATGCGATGAATCCACTTATCGTTTGTTCACCGGTTCACTGATGTCAGTGCGGTCGGTTATTTGGTCAAGGTGATTGATGGTCATGCTTGCCATCAATGCCGGGAATGTGAACAAAAGTCTGAGTTTTCCAGATTTCTTGAGGCGATCAAAATGAAGGCCGAGCTCAGAAGACTTTGGTTGAGCACCACGTGCGTTGCGGGTAGGACTAACGACTCGTCTAAAAAGACTTAGTGTGTGAACGAAGGATTATCAGATACCGAGAGCATCACCCGGCGGCACTGGCTGTGCCATGTAATGATAGCCAGATGCTCAGGGACATCTCGACAAGATCGTCGCCATCGCAGAGAAGGTACAGCCAACGGTGAATATAAGCGAGGATCCCGTGATTGAAGGAAGCAAGCTATATTTAGTGGTACTATAAATAGAACAATGCTTCATCTAATAGTCTTTAATACTACCGAGAAGCGTTGGGTTCAACTATTGGCGGTCCCGATTGCATACTCTACTCCAAAACTAAATCAAAGCGGTGAACATGGAAATAGCTGCTGCTGCTTCCTTAATCCCCGTGACAATCTTCAACAAAGGCGGTGAACATGGAAATAGCTGCTGCTACTGCGGTCTTCGTTTCGACAGTTTGTGTTCTCGATTTTTTTTTGATTTCTCCGTATAGACAAATACGTATCCCTGTCTTCCCTGCGCAATAGAGTCGGCACTGCCTTCGTTCTGTCGCGAATAATAAGTGCCCGCTTTCACCGCTGATGGGCTGATGTGACCCCTGACTTGATAGACGTCTTGCTCCGTTTATCCGACGATCAGCTTGTCCCGTGATCGGCTCAAAGCATCACATGTGTGAATGCGGGATTCGATTGAGCAAGTCTCAAACACCCTTCTGATGGTCATGTAGGTCGCATAGCTTTTCTGCTCTGGCTATAGTTGGATTTTCCAGTCCGAAGCTCAGCAAACATTGACTAGTCCATTTATGGGAAACCGTGACTAGAGAGGTCCGACGTGGCTAGCAGATACATTCTCGACACCTTCGATTACACTATCCACGGCCAACTATTATTCATACATAAATAAATAAATATAGGTGTCTACGATATCATGAAAAAATTTATGCATGGGAGCTTGAAGGTAGGGGTCCGGAAGGTGCATAATTCGACTTCAATCTCAATACATGTCCATATCTGTTCTAGCGTTAGCCCAACATGATACAGCAAAGCCTTATATGAAACTGACCTTGACAAGACAAAGGGGATTGGCATCATAGCCAGAGCGATGAAACCAAGTAGTGACGAAGCCCATTCGGGACCAAGCTTATCGTACATCTGAGTGGCGAAGAGCTAAGCAAAGAGAGATTAGCCAATGATGTATGAAAGGGAAAATATTATCTTCGCTCACAGGAAATCCAGCGCCGAACAGACTGCGAATGACAGTAGTTATAGCTAGCGCCGAGGCAGCGACAGCCAAATACGCATCGACCGCGTAGTTAATCAGGGCAAGCTTTGAAGCCATCGTGAGTCATAGGCCAGCATGCAAATGGTAAGAACATACAAATATCAAGCAAATACTCCATCCGAGCAATCCACCCGACAGCATCGGGGCCCATATCGAAATGCTAGGAAATGACGTCCATGCGAACCAGAAGAACGATACAACAAAGAATGGCGCCGAGACCATGGCCACTCTCAATCTGAACTCTGGCGGCACAGGGTTCGGTGCGCATTCCTGAACTTTGCGCTCGTAACTTGGGTTAAAAAAGAAAATGTACTAAAAATGCATGATAAGAACGTTGAAGCACGAGGATGAAGTATACACACCGTTAGACCCGCAAGAACGGCGCCAATGGGCAGCGGAAGGAACATGAGTCCAGAAACACCTGCATTCAAGTTGTGCCCCTGAGTGAAAACCACAGGATAGGCCTCGAAAAGCAGGTATATGCAACCATAAACAAACTAGGATCCAATGTCAACGACCCTCTTCACAATTTGCAAAATAGCCACACTTACGCTCATGTACAGAGTTATAGCAATCATCATCGGCTCCTTGAAGAGAATTTTGAAAGGCCGACCAAGAATGCTTTCGATGCGTTGTGAGAACGTTACTTTTTGTAATTCAATGGCAGCAAAAAATCTCTCGTCTCCAGTGCGCTTCCGGAGCTCTTTAGCTTTCTTGACAAGAAGGACTGGACTAAAATTATGGGATGAGCGCCTCGCTAATAGAAACCTTGCCGTAAAATGTTCTCACCCATACGTCTCGGGAATCGTGAAAATAATCTGCAACCAGAATATGCCGGCCTGAAAACATATGCTTGAGTTGTGGTTGATAGGAAACGGAAAAATGATTTACAAGGATAGTCAATATCCAAAAAAGCCAGCGCCATGATACACCAGCCACAACAAGGTATCCCGCTACTGTTGGTGCAAGACCTGGTCCAGCAAACGGAGCCACACTGAAAACCGCCAGGGCAGTGCCGCGTTGTTTTGCGTCCCAGATATCTGCAATGAGTGCGCTGAAAGATTCGCCTTGTAAAAATGTAACTTTCCCACTGAAGCGAACAGTCCTTACCCTGAATTTGCTAGAGGAGCAGCTGCAAATGTACCCCCAAGGAAACGGAAAATCAAAATGGATGCGATGTTCTGCGACAAGGCACATCCAATTTGGAAACACTAAAATACAAAGACAATTCAGTGAAAGGCAGACAAGGGATGGAGAGGCCAACTAACCAAATATACAATGAAAGATATAATAAATATTGGGCGTCGTCCATACTGTTCCGATAACGGTGCCCAAACCAAAGGGCCAACACAGTAACCACACACGAAAAGCGAAACAGGCAATGTTGCGACCTCCTGGGATATTCCAAATTCCTCCATGAAAGTGGGTGCTAGACTAGATGGAGCACTACTCGAGAAGGTGCTAGATAGATGAGGCAAACAAACAAAACTTGAGCATTTGCCAGTGATACTTCCCGATAGATGTCATACGTACGCATTGACGACCAGGAGAGCGGCAGCGATGGTGAGGTACCACTTTTTAGCAACAGACCAGTTCTAGATAAGTTCGTGAGCTTATCAACATAGTGATCTCGCAGCAACTGGAAAGTACCTTTGGATTGGCTGAGTCGTCCTCATCGAAGAGGACTAGAAATGTCTGTAGGTTGGACTTGTTGTCGAGAGTGGTACTAGAGCCACCCTCCTTGCTGTTCTCCTCGGGTTGATAAGTATAGGCGGTTTGAAATGATACATTAGATGAATCGGGTATGTTAGGAAAAATGAGCTCGGCCATGCTTGCAGCGAGAAAGATGAGAATCCAAGTAGATTACGTGCCATTTAAAGAGCTTGAAAGCTCATTGGTAACGGAAACTTCCAAGCGTGATCCTCGGCCTGACTGAAACATTCGCAGCATAACATCAAGTTGGGATGTAGTCTGAAATGAGTCAACGTGAATAGTGTGCTGTGGGGTGTCGGTAGACTTCGTCAGCCTGACCGCATAATAGATGATTTGCCGACATGCCGCTATCAAACTTTGGACTAGTGCACATGGAACAGAACCGTTAACGCTGTGTATTATTACACCTGCAGGCTCGGAACTCTCCATGGGCCGGGGCGCGGATCGCCTAGTGGATGCTATGCCAGTGCATCCAAACCTGGGATTGCCCACCAGCGGTCGCCAGTCTCAGGCCTAATCAGAGTGGGTTGTGCTACAGTGCTCTGGAGCACTCTGTAGCAAATTATGTTTCCCTAACGGGCTTAGAACCAGAACGTCGCGGGTTGAACGACCAACTGCGACAGAAAAAAAACCAGGGATTTTTAGTGGGTATTTAGAGCCCCACTGCCACATAACTGCGTAAACGCGTTTCGTTACATAGTAGTTCTAAGTAGTCACCGAACGATGGCCGAAGGTTCTTCGGTAATAACGTCACGTGTACGTTTAACCCTCCAGTTAGCTACAATGTCTTATTCTGAATCCTGATTCCTGAATGCATTGAAAAATGTTAACTAGCAGTCATTTTTAATGCAACAAGGATGGTAAGTTGACGGTGCATTACTTTTGTGTTCTATATATACGCAATCTAATGCATCAAATAGCTCCTTTGTCAGTTGCGGACCTTGTGGTACTAGCGCTTCTTTGATTCTTTGTGGGCCCCAGGGCCAGTGATGGTACCTGCAGCTGGCAGGCCGGTGGTTCTGTGAATTTTCGATTCTCGAAACACATCATCGCCCCCCCATCATCTTACTAATCTAATGCTACTGCGGCCAGCTCCAGCCTGGCAGCACTTTTGGGCCACTCGTTTCTGCCCTCAGCTGTCGCCAGCTTCTTGCACCTTGTGCTACTTTCCCGCCTTTTGAGTCCTGCACCTTCTGTTGTCCCTTTCTACACCTCTTGCCACTCTCCCGCACCTCCTGTTTACCTCCCACACTTCTTATTCACCTTTCTATATCCTGGCACTACACCACCTACCATCCTCTGGCACATCCTGTTCACCCTCCGGCACCTCTCATTTAACCTTCTGCGTCTCGCAACACCTCCCGCTAGCGTCTTACACTCCCTGCTCGCCCTCCCACACCTCTCATTCACTGATCGTGCCGCTTGTGCGTCTCAGCCTTACTTGAAGTTCAGGTCTATCCGATTTGATTCGTTCTTTTCATGTTAACTGAGCACGCATGTTTGAACCAGTGTATACTACACGGTACCATGTCTCCCGATCGCTATTGAATTATGATTCATGTCTCCACTGCATCGCTCTTATAAATCGGCTCCAGGTTGGAGTCAGATATCATTACGGTCATCGGTCAACACCTGTGTGTCACCATTAGTAAGACAAATATGTGATGACGTTCGTTACTAACCAGGTACTAAAACTAGTCAAAAATGAATAAAAAAATAGCCTTATGACGGTTTGTCGAGACAAATTCGACCCTGCTCCAGTCATCAGTCACTTTGTGGCTTGTATATGACTGGATCTGTACGACAGCTCTTGTGACTCTGTTTTCCTGTACGGGCTGTTGCAGCTCTGTGCTAAAATTGATCGCGAGCGGCGATTCAGAACCATCCGAGCATTCAAGTTAAGCTGGAGGGCCCTGTTTGCCCTAAACTCATTCTTCAAGCGCCCGTCACCAGTGCAAGTAGGATTCAATGATCGCCGGAAACTTGTTTCCGACATGTCAGCTCTACTTTGTCGATCGCACACATCTTCTGTGAGGCTGTGACACTCAATGGATCAAGTCCAAAATAACACAAACACAAACGTAGTATTATTAAGTCGTTGGCAACGTTCGACGCATGGAGACCATCTGAGACAGATTCAGCAAGTTATTAATAGGAACGTAGCTAAAGCCTAATAATAGATGTGGTAGACGTAATAGCATATAGTCCGTCCGATACGTGGGCGCTACAACCCACGCGAAAAGGCATATCGAGGAGTTCTTGGCCGCTCCCTTTTCTTGATAGTGTATGATGCTCAGTGACAATAATATATACGTATCACTGCAACGCGCAAGCGTTGGTCCCCTATTTTGACTTGCCGGTGTACCTTGGCCATAGGGGCATATCAGTTATCTATCTGAAGTGTATTTTCAAGACTGAGAACTCAGTGCTGTCATACGCTTGCTTAATCTGAATGAGACCTGTTCAAGATGAGATTTAAGATGATGATAAGATACGGTTCAAGAAAGGCAAAATCAAATTAGACTGCAAGTCTTGGAGAGATGCACCAATGTGTTCAATTGGCCATTCGTTGGTGACTAGTCCTTCGTTCTCTCCCTGACCCGACCCATCCAGGCATCAAAGCGTCTCATGCATCCTGAGGATGATGCTCCATCATGCGCCTGAGGTCCAATTCTGGAATCCTCGTCTTAAACTCAATTGGGCATGGTGGGACAGTTGGCATAACCACGGTCATGAATCCCGTGTCATCCAACGGCTTTGTAGGATTCAAAGTGAGTTGGAAGGCCCACATGGTTAGAAGCGAGCTGATGAACACCGATCTGGGTCGATCACAGTCAGTTCGGAAGATAATATACACGGAAGAATAACTTTACCTGTTCGCAACGTGTTGACCAGGGCATACGCTAAAAGCAATGTCATTGAAAGAACAATTGACTAAAAGGCGGTGCTTACCGTCGACCAAAGCCATAGACAAAAAAATTTAAATCGGTTCTTAGGTGATATTGGTCGTCAATCCAGCGCTGAGGTTTGAACACATCAGGCTCCGGATAGACATCTGGATCTCGGGAGATAGACCTAAGGCGGTAACCATTAGATCCTTCGTATTTAAAGCATCATGCTTACATACCAATAGTCTGCGAACAATGTGGTCCCGGCTGGAATACGATAGTTTTGCTGATGGGCCAGATCATCCATCATCCATGCAATAATCTGTTCGACGATCGCTTACCCAAATCACGTCATGGGTTGTTCGGTGAGGTGATGCTGCGGTGTGCATGTTAAAATTTGCGGCTGAAACCAAAAGGAAGACGATACCCACCACCGTTAGGCAAAGGAGGCCTCCATCTCAAAGCCTCGGAGATGAATGCTTGCAGGCGAGGAAGAGAATCTTGGTCGGCGAAGGTTGGCGCTTTTGTGCAGATATGATTGAATCAGAGTACTGCAGTAGGTAATCAAGCTTACCTCGGTGCCTTCCGATGACTGCATCGAGCTCAGCTTGAACTAGTGCTTGCTCCTCGGGAAAACATGCGGCTGCCATCAGTACCGTGCAAATTGCCATAGAAGCCTTTGCCTAGTTTCAGCCATATGTTTCCGGAAGCAACAAATAAAACCTCACGGAACCAGATCCAGCTACAAAAAAGGAGCCAGCAAGAAAGGCCATTTCGATCTCTGTCAAACCATGGAGATGGATATTCTCTAGCATATATTTCGCGAACGAAGGGCCGATGTCTTCGTCTCTTTGCTGTGCAACGGCTCAGATATGAAATAAATATCGAGAGAAAGAAACGCGCACCATTTGTTCTTTTATGCAGTTCAGTCGACCAACGTTGAGTTTCTTGGTGTTCTCAAATGCCTGTCTTAAGTCTCGTCCATACCAGGGAACATATTCAAGCCACGGGATCCAGTCCACCAGGTAAGCGCCAGGACGCAGGGCTATACTTGACATCTTATTGCGTTGATTGAGTTTAAGAACTTCGGGGTCTGTCGCAGGTGTGTGCGCATTTTTTCCATATGCGACTTTCATGATTGTCGTCGCGGCATAACTTCAAACCATCTGTAAGCAAAGTACAATCATAGCTAAAAGAGCTTACGTTGTCACATGGTTATGATAGTTGTATGGATCATCGAGAATGTCGAGAACTGTGTTCTTCGCGTGTGACATCTGCAAAGGTTGATAGGCCTCAGCTGCTTTAGGCTGGAGATGTGAATGAAGTGCTCTGCATCACATTAAGATGGAAGGTAGACAATGGGAAGCATATTACTAACCTACGCATCCGACGGAACTTGTCCCCAAAGGGTACAAACACGATACTAATTGCGCCGTTGAGCATTTTTCCAGCAGCATTTACGCGAGGGCGATCGGCTGTCAATTTGCCCTGGTTCTCCATGATATCAACGGCTGCCTGCAACAAAACATTGAGCCTAGATATGACACTCAGTATGTAAGGTCCGACCTTGTAGCGGCCAATAATAACGATGTTTTCAAATATTGACTGAATATTGATTAGAGGACCATACTCGTCAATCCAACCCGCTATAGTGAGCCTCGACGGGCTTATCGACAATAGGACATCATTAGCCTTCAAAAGTCAACAGGTAAAATTATAAAGATTACTGGTGATATGGCAGGAAGTGCTCCAAAAGTCTGCGAGTAGGAGGGGAAGGTGGGAGAGTAAGGTAACTCTCTGTTTTATGACGGTGAGCCCGAGCTAGTACTCCTACAACACCAAAACAAGCTGCAGCACTGAGGACAAGTTGCACATTGTCAAAGATGCGCAGGTCAGGTAGCTGTAGCATGATTGATGAGGTGTGCTAGTAAAGAAGGACTCGTACGACTACTAAGCATAGTCGTCGCAATGGCAATTGTTAGTAGCTTTTCGGTACCATACACCAACCCTGAACTAATCGGTTTACATACAAGTTCATTAATGTTTAAGTCGGTTCAAGACGAGAATCGAGGGCGATTTAGTAAAATAAGGAATCGGTGAATTAGTGAACCGACAATGAAGCGAAACCCATGTCAGGACTCAGAAGTGCCCAGCAGATCGTCTGGCCACCTCCTTAGCACCTGCCGCAGGTGCCAGTCTGGTCCGTCCAATGCTGCAACTGAGTCAGTACTCATGACCCACCATAAGGGTAGCGTACGGTTGGGCAGACAGAGGGACTCCGAGTCAGCTTGCTGATGATCAAATTCATGATACCGTGTGAACTTCGTGCAAATATGTCACGAGACCCACCATGATAATCCGTTTTGGCCCGGCAGGCGAGTAATTCGCCTCACCGATGCACCAGCTCCACAAGGCAGCTTGATGATTCTACGCTCATCATTGTCAGCAGCCGTATGACACGAAAGCCCGGTAACGGATGCAGTTCCTGTTTCGAAATGTTTCATCCCTAACATTTACGTCAATCAAGGAATGACCATCATATCCCTCAATGTCATTTTGGTGTTTCAAGTACTGATGCGTCACCGTAGTATATATATATATGCTATCGCTATACGGTCACCAAGTTCGCTTCTCACTCACACCCTTTCTCTACCAATATGACCATAGTCTCAAATGATCCCACTTGGTGGCCGTCCATCAATGCAAATCGTTTTTATAGCTATTTTGTAGGTTCGTACAGAGCAGTCTGATGTTCAGAGTGATGTTTCGATCTAACCGACAATGGTTTCATAGTTGCCGCCTTGGTTGGAGTGACGTATGATTGGGGTGAGCATGATAATGTTGGATGACCCCTGATATCTTACAAGTGTTTTCAGCACTTACATTCGGACAAGAGGTATGTCAATACTATGATCGGAGCAGCCTGTCATCTCGCTAACAATGCTTTTATAGGTCGAACTCGTCTGGGTGAGTACAATCCCATGTCAGAGGAACACACATGAAAGTGCAGTTAATGCCAGAGGCAACGTTGGTCCCCGATGACAGTTCTGTATCTCAGCGTATGTAACTTATTTGTCACGGTTGTAATGTTATACTGACTTGAAAGTATTCTAGGTGCGCTACCTTGGAATCGTATATGCTGCGTATGTTTAGAAGGCTAGATAATCGGTGTTATGCTAATCGTCTATATCTTATAATCAGCTTGAACATGCTAAGTATGCTTCCTTAGTAGATTTGATGTTTTAGCTTCTTCTGACCAACGGCATACAGGCGATGTTCCGACCACCTCGTTGACAGATACAGTGAGTCTGCTGCATAGATGCCTCCTACCCCCCTCCAATTAACCGTGATGCCCTGTAGGAGTGGGTGTGGTTCTTTACTAAGTTCTTTATACACTTATGATTGCCACATTATACTGCCACAGATGTGAGTGTGTTGTGGTATCCGAGATTGGTCGCTAACTGGACTCCAGGTTGGATTACGTACGTCGTACGGAATTGGGTGGGTGTTGTGGTATTTGCAATGCTATGGGGTAAGCTTGGTACTTGCGAGACCTCGGTGATATTGACTTGACTGAAACATGCTGCTAGTCATCATCATCATTCGGTTGCATGCCATGTATCAAGGATCCAGAAAGATCTTGATATTTCTCGTTGTCACCTTCCTGGCCGTCAACATTTTTGACGGAGTGAACTCTGTACTGATAACGATGTATGCTTCGGAGGGTACGTTTAATTGTGAACGACAACAAAGGTGTATGAGGATTGATGTATACCAGAGGAACTCATTCTCTCTGGCACATATCAGTGCACGATTGACTATACGGGAGAAATCCTCCTTATAAATTCTGTTGCTTGGATACTTTCCGTTGTGTGGGAGGTCCTTGCACTGTGTCTCGCAATCCGGATTGCCATAAAACACTTCCGTGAATCGCGGCAATATTCGACAGGAGAAATTATCCAGGACTGTTTCACGGTGTTGATCCAAACTCACGTACTTTACTTTGCCAGGTGAGGTCATATCGTGATTATTGTTTTTTCCCACTGAAGGACGTGGTAGCGTTGCTGCTGTTTCTTGCCTCGAGCTCATTATTAATTTATCCCCGATACTCGTAACAGTATGTCAATTTCTGACTTACCTGTTTGTGCGTCCACGATTCCTTGTTTCTATAGGACCAAGATTCTATAGAAGTTCACACTTTTTATGGCTTGCTTCAGATTTTGAATGTGGTTCAGATGTTTGTGCTGGGACCACGCCTAATCCTTGGCGTTCGAGAGTATAACGCTAAACTCGTGGCCGACTCCGACGCAGCAACCTGCGTAACCTCAGTCGCTTTCCAAGAGCGTGTGCATATATCGACTGACGGTGGTGTGTAATGCTCGGTGAAGTCGATGCGGATGGTTGTCTAGTGCTCTGTGGGGAGCATGAGATTTGTAGTGGTTATTTGATGTCAAGAAGACAGAATATTTTCGTCGTAGTGTGTATTCGAACCATTTGCTATAGGTCCTGATTGACCATGTCTCAATCAATATCTTGGATGTCCCTACTGTACTAACGAAGGCAAGCGGTGTGCTGAACGGCAAAGTCGAGGAGCGAGAGACATTTATAGGCGATCTGTTTTCCAAAATTAATTTATCACGAAGGCTGGTTGCGACCATCATGATAGTGCGCCCTTAGGCATGAGCTATGATATCAGAGATGAAAGAGGGTCTAATTGACTACGCAAAATCTACACTTCCACCGTGTCAGAGAAATGAACGGCCTGATAATGCGAAATTCGGTTGGACCTGTGCTCGCCTGCATACTGGATTTCAGGGAGCTCAGGATAACGAGATCGGGAAGGCTTTTGCGACTTCTGCATAGCCCAGATGATGGCAGCATCATTCCGAAGGTTATAATAGGGAATGTTATTGGTGAGGACCTACAAGTGGAGCTCGGGATATCAATGAGAGGCCCAAATCAAACCAGACGAACCTGCAGCATGACATCGCCAAATGAATACATATCGCTCTGCTTGCTTGGCCGAACTTGAGAGCCATCCATCGCACGTTTCGTTTGAGTGTGGACGTCCACGAAGCCTGAGAGGTGCTTATAACCTCGGAATACATTAAGGGAAGGCCAACCCAGCAATACATGCAGTGCCATCACCATGGATCAACACGTTAGGCTGAAGCTTACGTCTCTATGAAGTTGTAACCATCGAAAAGATGGTAATTACCCCATTGAAGTCGCCATGAATTACTTTGTTGGCGTGAACTACGAAGCGTAGTTACAGCTCGGTCCGGCAGGATGAAAGTCTATGACATGCGATATTGCAGACCAACTATGATATCCCTTAGCTAAGTTTTCCATCAATTAGTTTGGGGCTACCCCATATGCATGAAGAGAGACTTACCAGTCGGAATCGTCAAACGTGTGTCGGAGCCGCACCCTCACGCTCCAAATAGACCGTCAAGTTACCATTCTCAGCCCAAAGACTGACTATCGCTGGAAGTGGGCCGAAGCCATACGTATAACCACAAATGTGGAGAATATTTATATGGGATAGTTTGGCACATATCCGGAGTTCGTGCATTATCCTCTACGAAGTGGCGTTCTGTGGTGTAAGCGACGGACTCAATCCTTCAGTGAGACACTTGCCTTGATTCTTTGTGGTCTTCACTGGCCCAAGTTGATCATCAGCGTATACGTGTAATGCTTTCACTGCGACCTGAAAAATGATAAAATTTAGACAGATGGACAGACAAACGACCGCAAACGAACCGCGACCGAGCTAGGAGCGACGCTCAATCTACATATCTCCCCGAACCCGCTACGTGCAACAGGGTAGTCTCCGTCCTTGACGATATATTTTAAGAGGTCTTGGGGCATTGCTTTGAGATCTTCAGACTCAACGTCACGAGCAGAAAAGACTGTAGGAGTGTGGGAAGAGGAGACAAGGAACTTGCGGGGGTCGGGGCTTAATTGGGGCAACCGTGAAGCTATTGTAGAAGAGAGTATTTGCGATGTTAAGGGAAAAGCTATGGCAGGCAATTGTTGTTGCGCCTTGGAGATCTTCTGTGTGTCCTTTTAAGCGTGTAATGGTCTGCAAGGGAATGTTAGCACACAAAGTGAATGTTTGCAGGGGATGCATACATAAGCCTGAGCAAGGACTTCGGGTGGAATATCGCAGATGTAGATTTTCTGATTATTTCTGTTGTATGATATGGTGTACGCTGTGTAAGCCAGTTGATGTGAGTCGGGTGAGAGAACAAGGATATCGGGCTTCCGAATCAAAGGAGGCGAGGAGCTGGCGGGACTCGAAAGCCCAGAGCTTGATGGTGTTGTGTTATCTTCAGCAGCGCTGGCCAGGAGAGCATGGTCAAATGGAGGTGCCAGACCACGGGTAACCTCGGTGTGCCCTTTGAAGGGAGTTCCAACAGTTTCTAGTGTCGATGCGTCAAATTCGTAGATTGTCCCGGAGTGCATCAGGGACTTGGAAGCTGAATGCGGCCAAGATGTTTTTGTTGTTGTTTGTCCAGAATATTGGCGTCCAATTTCTGTGATTGGACCAGATTTCAAGCCACCACAGCCACGATTTGACTGCCAGCTTCTTTGAATCTGTGGAATTGCGCATCGTCGCTCTTAAGCTTTTGAATGGACCAGCCACAAGTTTTCCGGTGTCCAGATTCCATATTCGCGACGTTTTATCTCTTGAGTCTTGACCCACTTGCCATCAACGTGTTGTCCATTGAGACATTAATGCAGTTGATCCACGATGAGTGTCCTTCGAATCTTTTCACAATCCCAGTCCCAACCTCACAGGCTTTCAGCTCAGTACCACCAGTGACAATCCATCGACCATCCCTCGACACCACCACTGCCAATACGTCCTCCTCGCAAACATCCCGCGCTTCCTTAATTTCCTCGCGCGCCTTCAGATCCCATTGCCGAGTGGTACTGGCACAGGATCCGCTGATCATTCGTCGGCCATCTGGAAAATAGGATATAGATCCAATCAATGATACATGACCCTTCAAAGTTACCAAAGGGTTCAAAATCGATCTCGTAGCGATTATCTTTGTCGATGTAGAAGCCATGGCTACGTCTCCCCGAGCGAAACCGTGAGGTAGTCGAGTAAAAACAAGTGTTTGACAGTGCAAAGGTGAGGGCTCCTGGTATAGATATACTCCGAGCTATAGCTGACAGTGATTTAGGCCCCCTGGTAAAGTCAATTATCAGTTCATCCGCACTGGAAGGCCAAATCAGAATTTGGCGTTACCGAGAAGTCAGCGGGGAAGATGTTGGGGAGCAATGAAATCATGAATGTGAGAACGGCCTTGCGCACAGCCCTGCACATATACCCCAACACACTCTTTCAGCGCTGTGCAACGCGTCAGAATCCTTCATTGGTCACATTGCTTCTCCTTGCTTCTCGGCTCATAGCCATGGCTAAAGTCGCTCTTATTAAAGCGCGTCAAATCTCTTTGTCCCACCACTTTATCGTTGCTAATTTCGTTTTGGTTCAGCCATCTTTCCCCATCCACCATATTAAACTGCTCTGAGTACGCGTGGGCTTCCTAGCAAGTGCACAACCTTGTAAATATTTTGATTACTTCTCTTATCATGCCTTAGCAACCTGTGAATCCACAGAAGCTTGAAAGTAGGAACGAAATATCTAAACTCTGTCAATGGCATATAACATAATAAATATCACCGCCCGCAAGTATCAGAGCCTGATGTCCATCACCCTTAAAAATTACGAGCCATATGGTGAGCGATCGAGGATGACACAGCAAGTTGGATAGCAGCGAGCAGATAGCAGATCCACATGGAGCATCTGAATATGGCCGCAACGAATGCGCAACAACTAGCAGCACACTCGGCTTGAGGCACGTACCAGGTCTTGGTGAGGGGAAGTTGTAACACTTGCGACTGATTCACAAAGGTTCATGTACAAAACAAGAACACCATTGTGCCGGGGTCATTTTAATACTTTTAGCCCGATCCATATGAGCACGCACTTTAGAAACCTAACCCTAATGATTAGTCTCGATTTCCCTGTGTCGGAACTTTGGACGATCGAACAGAACTTGGCCTGGAAGGGCTGCCCAGGCCTCCTTTGAACTTGATGTTGTTGTTTTTCAGATACTCGTAAGAGTTGTCCACAGCCTGCCCGATGTAAGGATGCATTATAAAGCAAATATAAAATCATGGAGCGATGAGTTGATAGAAGAGTACGAGGAGCCCCTCTACCATAATCTCGTCGATCGACCAGTGCCTGCAAATTTTCAAACTCCGTGCGGACAATGCTCGAATTTGTAATACTTTTTACAACTTTGAACTTCATTCAAATCGCAGTCTCTGGCGAATATCTAAACTCCCAGTCATTTATGTTTGGCTCGTAGCCACAACCGAATGCTATATGCAAAGCGGCCAGTTTAATTGTGTCAAGAACGTCCATGTTGGTTTGAATATATGAAGCATTTGATGTGGTACATTTTGCATCGGTTTTCATCAGGGTGCTACTGACTTGCAGAGGAAAGCGAGCAAGTGTGCATCACTCAACGACTGATCTCTGGACGGATGACTTCCACAGCATAGAGAAACTTGAAGGCGAAGCGTTGAGGTGTGTACGTTAACCGCGCGCACTCTGCTGATGCTCGCAATAATACGGGCATAACTTATCCATCAACTACACAATGAGCGTCAGAACAAAAGTCAGGCTTTTTGCGGTATCTCCGACTTTGTTTTCTGCCAGCGCTCTATCTGCATCAATCTATCATCCATCCTGTACGCCCGCCAAAACGGGATGTCCGTCGTCTACTTCACCGCCCGACTGCATCACTTGTGCATTTCCTGCATTCTCGGATCTTGATCGTCGGTCGGAGTTTTGACGTCTTGATTTTATCTTGGGCGTCGTTATAGTAGGCGGTTCATGCAAAATTAGACGGTGTTCAAATCCATATTCCGATTTTGTACCCGGGCTACTCTGCAAAAGCGTGAGTCAACAGAAGGGCATCAACTGCATGATGGATTTAGTGTTTTGGATCAGTTTTTATTAGTAGCCGTATGACATGGTGAGCTATTCCCTCAATTGCTTCAAATCTCTACCTTTCTGATGGTGTGCCAACAGAATATTGCCGCCCTCAGCCATTGTGCATGTGAGCATTATTTTCTCTCATACTCTCTCAACGCTCTCTTGATCTCAGGGGTGATGTTGTATCATCGCATATCAATCGCACAATTCTAACCGGGTGAAATCAGATGCGTTTCACCACCACATCAACTTTGCGATACATCAAGTAGTCTGCGCTCACCATTTCTAGCATCCTGATGATACGATAGCCCAATTTCCGAGGCAAAGCAGAGAGGATGCACGTTAGGCGACAGATGGCCTAAGGATGAAATGGCACATCAAGATATGTGCTCGCAGGGAGGTTTTGGTGGCCTGGGTAGGACACATGTTTGTCGAGTGACCTTATATGAGCTGTTATGCTCTCCGGGGCTGTGCTGGCGAGGCAAAAGGAAAAAAGATGACAGGCTTTTTTCGATAGTCGCACCATGATCAGTATGTGTCAACCAGATGAGGTCGTACATGGACTGATGCCCGTGTAGCAAAACGGCATTGGAAGCAAGTTGACAAGATCATGAATAGTTCTTGATGTTGTTCAATCTTTTGCGGTGTCCAAGTATCCGACCGGCGCAACATCTACGTTGAGAGGTGAATTGAGTTCATCTTTTTTGACGTCAAAATACTAGCGTCGGGTAACCAACGCACAAATAGATACCATCTCTCGAATTCGTTTTGGTCATTCTAAGCGCCGAATGGTGGTATAACTAGCACGGATGCCACCATCATACATCACCAAGTTCACTTTTTACCCACACCCATTCTCTACCAATATGACCGTAGTCTCAAATGATCCCACTTGGTGGCCAACCATCAATGCATATCGTTTTTCAAGCTATTTTTTTCGTTCGTGCAGAGTAGTTGGATTTCGAAGCTGACTCAATCTAATCTTGACTGCGGTTTCACAGTTGCCGCCTTCGTTGGAGTGATGTATGATTGGGGTGAGCACGACAATATTAAATAGCTATTGGTATCTTACAAGTATCTTCAGCACTTACTTTTGGACAAGAGGTATGTCGATGCCATGACCGGAGCAGTCATCTGTCTAAGAATGGCTTTATAGGTCGAATTAGTTTGGGTGAGTACAATCTCATCTCAGAAGAACACACATGGAGGTTCACTTAATTACAGAGGCAGCGTTGGTCCCTAATGACAGTGCTGTATCTCAGTGTATGTACCTTCAAGTTGTCTGTCGCAATTGTGCTGACTTGAAAGTATCCTAGGTGCGCTACCTTGGAATCGTATATGCTGCGTATGTTTTGAAAGTTACTAGTAAACAATTGGTGCTGTGCTAATCGTCTATAATCAGCCTGAACATGCTGAGTATGCTCTCTTGGTAGATTTGATGTTTTGGCTTCTCCTGACAAACGGCATACAGACTATGTTCCGACCATCCCGTTGACAGATACAGTGAGTATTCTGAACAGACGCTTACTATTTCCCTCTAATTAACCGTGATGCCCTGTAGCAGTGGGTGCGGTTCTTTACTAACTTCTTAGTTTACTAATGACTGCCATGCTATACCGCCACAGATGCGAGTCTCTTTAGAGTGTGTGCTACTAGATTGATCGCTAACTGGATTTTTCGTCAGGCTGGATTATGTTCATCGTATTGGATTGGGTGTTTGTTTTGATGTTGTCTATGCTGTGGGGTGAGATTGGCACGTGCGAGACCTCGGCGATGCTGACTTGGCTGAAACATCCTGCAAGTTATCATCATCACTCGGTTGCATGCCATGTATCAAGGATCCAGAAATATCCTGATACTTCTCATTGTTGCCTTCCTGGCTATCAACATTTTCGATGGAGTGGCAGTCGTAATGACAATGTTGCATTCTTCAGAAGGTGCGTTTAATTGTGGATGAAAACAAACTTTCATAGGGCTCATTGATGAATGACAGAGGAACTTATTCTCTCCGGCACTTATCAATGTTCGGTTGCAGATACGGAAGATGTCTCACATCTGGGTTCTGTTTGTTGGATACTCAACACAGTGTGGGAGGTTCTCACACTGTGTCTTACACTCTGGATCGCGGTACAACACTTCCGTGAACTGCGGCAACATTCGGCAAGAGGGATTATCAAGGACTGTCTCACAGTGTTGATACAAACTCACGTGCTTTACTTTGCGAGGTAAGCTCATATTTTGATTATCGTTCCTTTTATCCACTGAAGAGTCGGACGTGGTAGCTTTGTTGCTGTTTCTTGCTTCGAGCTCATCATTGATTTATCTCCAACACTTTCAACGGTGTGTCGATCTTCCAGTTACTTCTGCATGCGGCTATGTTTCATCGTTTCTCCAGGGATATTCCCTGGACGCTCAGATTTATTCGGGGTTTCTTGCGATCTTGGAGGTTGTGCAGATGTTTGTGCTGGGACCACGCCTGATCCTCGGCGTTCGAGAGTACCACGCAAAACTCGTGGCCAATTCCGATGTAGTAACTGGTATGACCTCGATTTCTTTCCAGCAGCGCGTGCATATATCGACTGGGAACAGTGTGTAATGCTCGGTGACGTTAACGGTTGTCTAGTGCTTTACAAGTAGCAGGGGAATTTGCTATTATTTACTTCCACTTTTTTGATGGTGTTGACTCATTTATTTGGTGTACGACTTGGATTTCAATGAGACATTTGTCTGGACAATTGTTCGTTGTGGTATTAACGGAGTGATTCGTTATACGTGCTGATGATATTTTAATCGACAAATCGACAACTTGGATATTTCTACTGGAACTAGTTGCATTAACGACAGGTCCTGTTCCCTATGTGATAATAGTTCGTACGATTGATTTGGCAAGTCACAGGGGGCTGCCGTGTTAGCGTGCAAGTTGTGATTTGCTCTTTCTTCTCATCCTCGAGGACAACTTGCGACTTACAACATACCTCTGGTTGCCTCGTAACCGTGAAGCATTCAAATGGTGTGTTGGCGCGATCAAGTTACGCAGGCACGTGATCGCGTGCGCCCGTTCGGTTATTCGTTCGAATATTATTTAATATTGTTCCCAATGTCCATGCCCCAGGGCCCAGACTACTTCATTATGATGAACGATCATTCCGCCCCTTCATGTACACGGATTCCCACTTGTGCGACATTGTGTGTTATTCGCACCTGGACCCGGGCGTCAGCTGCGTCCCAGTGCTCCAACTCGAAGTGGCCAGTATCCTGCTTTTTCAAAGTCCAATTACTGAAATCGTACAGCTGCTCGACAATTTTTTCACAGCAAAGCTAGATCTACGGTGAATACTCCGTTCTTTATCGATGATTTTTTCCCTAGCAAACCATATCAGAGAACCGGCTCTGTGCAATCTGTCAACTAACGCCACAAGAACTCTCTACCTCCAGTAACTTCTCCAAAGAAAGGAGATATCATAGCAACTGCATAATCGCTCTAAATTTCGCCTCTACCATCACCAGGTCCTTATCTCACCCCCCACGGTTGAGCATCTCATCGCTTTATGCGTCGTGTTATTAAACATACTGCACAGATGTGAAACTTCTGAACACAACTCACCGCCATACTATGGATGATCGGTGCATGTGAAGAAGACCTACCACGCCGGTGAGTTGTTTGGTTAGATACAAACTACTCATACTCACGCAATACGGCCCCCACTCGCAGCCATCGCAATTCTTATCAACCCAACACCAGTCTTCACAGGAGCTCGCACTGGCAGCAGGTATGAGTGCTGTTAAAACAGCGACTGCGGCAAGGACAAAAGAGAAACGCATTGTTCGTGAGGATGCGATACTAGTATGAGCTCAGGTAGACCTTGACTTTACATGCTGGATACCGTTCTTTATGCAGGAGGACTACCTCCATCTGAAGTGCCCTTTCAAAATGATGTACTCGGAATTCCAGCTGAGTGCCACCTAAGATTCACCTTATGAAGCAAGGCCTATTGGCAATCTGGCATGGAACAAAATATCCCCTTACGAAGCCAACTGGTCACAATGACGCTTCAGTGCAAGTATTAAAACGTTTGTTCATATGTATTCTATATTCAGGTTTACGCAATATCTTCTTCAGCTGGCATGTGAGGCGGAGTGCTCAGTGACGCCAGTTCCATGTGTGACACGTTGCAATAACAAAGAGAGTCATGGAAACATTACTCACTTAAAGCATGCGAATGTCTAGTGGTCTGCACAGAGGCCAGAGTTATCATATTCCTGTAGACCTGCCACTTGTCAAATTTGAGTTCTCAAGGAGCATCAGTCAAATGACGCACCTGAGCGGTCATAGTAGGGGATGAGGTTCTTAATACGTGGCTGTTTCTGTTGAAACCCTCAGAATGCTTTGTTAATCACTTTACTACTGCCCATGGACGACTGCAGTGTACGATATCTGATTCCGTTAGGACACTCGACTACGGTAACAGATTGAAACATATCTAAGTTAGGCTGACAGTTGGACTGCTGACATGCAGGGTGGAGTTTGACGCAGCCGCGAGGAGGCAATATTGGCGTAGCATAGGTACTAGTAGGTGTGGAGGTTAAAACTAGTACGGTGGCCCCATATTTCTCATATCCTTTTTCCACAGTTATCGATTTTCGCTGCCCAGGTCTATCAGTACCAACAAAAAAAGGTGAGTACGTTTGGACGCACGTGGATATATCCATGGACGTACCATTTTAGCCTCACCCATATGAGCATGCACTTTATAAACCTAACCTCAATGATCAGTCTCGATTTCCCTGTGCCGGAACTTTGAACGATCGAACAGAACTTGGACTGGAGGGGCTGCCTGGGCCTCCTTTGAACTTGATGTTGTTGTTTTTCAGGTACTCGCAAAAGTTGTCCACTGCCTGCCCGATGTAAGGTCGAAGGATGAGCTCGGTGCCTGCAAATTTTCAAACCCCGTGCGTACAATATACCAAGTCGAATTTGCAATACTTATTTATACAACTTTGAACTTTACAGTCTCTGGCGAATATCTAAACTCTCAGTAGGTGTGCTCAATTCTTACGATGTCAAGTTCAAGGTGGGTCAAGTCCCAGCCAAACAACATAGCCGACCAGTGAGACTCCATTTGGGCTGAAGCGCCAGCTCACCTTGATTAACAGAGAAACATTTAGAATATCCATCAATGATACCATCAGATGCAGCGAAAAAGGCGAGGACGTGTGAAATGAAAAGTGATGTTCGTTCGTATGCTGAACTAGATACGTCTGGACCTGAGTATTGTGAGTAGTTGTACATGCGAGCTCGATACTATGATTATCTATAGCGTTGAAGTCAGTTTCTATATAAGAAACAAGGACCCATGGTACCCGATACGTTCACGTTCAAGTGAACATCATCGACTGTCGCCGACTTTCACGCCCTTTGCGTTCACTGAACGGACACCACGGTCAGTGACCAGCAGAACACTGAACCAAAGCCACTTGATGAAATCGTACAGCGGCTGCTCGACAACTTTTTCAAAGCAAAGTTAGATCTACGGTGAATAGTCTGTTCTTTCTCTATGATTCTTTGCCCAGAAAATCCATATCGGAGAACCGGCTCTCTGCAATCTGTCAACTAACACCATAAGAACTCTCTACCTCCAGTAACTTCTTCAAAAAAAGAAGATATCATTGCAACTCCAAATTTTGCCTCTGCCGTCACCAAGTCCTTATCTCACCCCCAACGGTTGAGCACCTCATCGCTTTACGTGTCGTGTCATCAACCATACTGCACAGATGTGAAAATGCTAAACACAACAACTCACTGCCATACTACTCATGATCGATGCATGTGAAGAAGACCTACCACGGCGGTGAGTTGTTTGGTTAGATACAAACTACTCATACTCACGCAATACGGCCCCCACTCGCAGCCATTGCAATTCTCATTAATCCAACACCAGTCGTTACAGTAGTCCGCACTGGCAGCAGGTATGAATGCTGTTAAAACAGCGACTGCGGCAAGGACAAAGGAGAAACGCATTGTTCGTGAGGATGTGATACTAGTACGAGCTCAGGTAGATTTGAAGGAAGAAGATGCTTTGCCTTTACGTGCTGAACACCGTTCTTTATGTAGGAGGACTACTGAAATGCCCCTTCAAATTGATGTACTCGCAATTCCAGCTGAATGCCACCAAAATTTACCGTATGAAGCATGGTCTATTGGCAATTGGTCGTGGACCGAGATATCAGCATCCGAAGCAAGGTCAATGCCAAGCATATTGCCACCTAATGAGATCTGTTTTTGTGAAGTAATTTCTAACGATTTGGCGAGGAACAAAATGTCACCTTACGGAGCCAATGCGCGACAATGAGTGATCAACTAGGTTCAGCCTGTTGGTTGAAGTAAGTACCGCATGACCACTATGTCCCTCGTTGAATGCAACAAATGTGTGCGACATGCATAACGGCCCGTTGGGGCCTAGCCATTATGACGCACATGTGAGGCATCAGCGCAAGTGTTCAAACGTTCGTATATGTTTCATATTCAGGTTTAAGCAATTTCTTCTTCAGCTGGCATGTGAGGCGGAGTGCTCAGTGATTCCCGTCCCACGTGTGACACGTTGCAACAACAGAGCCATGGAAGCATTGCTCACTTAAAGGATGTGAAGATCGAATGTTCTGCACAGAGGCTAGAAGATAAGCTATCGTATCCCTGTAGGTCTGCCACTTGTCAAAATTTGAGTTTTCAAGGAGCGTCAGTCAAATGACGCACCTGAGCGGTCAAAGTAGGGGATGAGGTTCCAACATGCGGCGGTTGCTCTGGATTATTTCAGTTGGAACCCTCAGAATGCCTAGACCTTCCGTCAGGACACTGTTTGAAAATCAGTCATGGTGATAGATTAAAAACACAGCCAAGTTAGGCTGACAGTTGTAATTACTGTTGAGGTTGAATTCGACGCAGCCGCGAGGAGGCATTGACGTAGCATAGGTAGTAGGTGTGGAGGTTGAAATTAGACTGGTGCAAAGCAAGAGCTCATGCAATGCGATGGCAGGAAGAAGTAGAACTTTTGCAAGAGGAAATGCGGTGCATAGTGGCATTCCTGCGATGGGAAGCAGAGCCGTGAGATGCAAGACGAGATAAAGCTGTACCAACCGACACACAGCATGAGGATGGGTGTATAGCATACACAAAGCGCCAGGCAAACTTACCCCGACAATTGGCAGCCTCGTGTGAGGCGCATTGGGCTCAAACACTGACTTTTGTGAACATGCAGGATCAGTCGGGGGAACATGTCATGAATGTAGTTAGTAGCTAGATCTATCTATTGTAACATGTCCGCAACACTGGCTAGAGGAACTCATATGCGTCGGCAACGCACTGTAAGGGCGGGAGGCAACGCACCACAAGGGCAGGAAGGCGGGATGCATCAGCATGGCATCAACAAGACGCAGGAGATGCAAAGGGCGGGAAGGCGGGATGCATCAGTGCGGCATCAGTGTGGCATCAGCGAGACGCGGGAGATGCAAGAGGGATGCATCAAGGAGGGCTATGGTTGTACGATTAATGCATCACAGATGCCCTGCACTTACAACAAGTAATGCATAATAATGACACGAAACCTGTGATCTACTTTCCTCACAGGTTCGCTGATGCTACAATCCACCAACTAACACCATAAGAACTCTCTACCTCAAGTAACTTCTTCAAAAAAAGGGGATATCATCACAACTGTGGCATAATCACTCTAAATTTCGCCTCTGCCGTCACCAAGTCCTTCTCTCACCCCCAAGTGATGGCCGAGCATCTCATCGCTTTACGTGTCATCAATCATACTGCACAGATGTGAAACTGCTGAACACAACTCACCGCCATACTATGCATTCTGGACGCATGTGAAGAAGAACTACCACGGCGGTGAGTTGTTTGGTTAGATACAAACTACTCATACTCACGCAGTGCTCCCCCCACTGGCAGCCCCTGCAATTCTTATCAACCCAACACCAGTCTTCACAGTAGTCCGCACTGGCAGCAGGTATGAATGCTGTTAAAACAGCGACTGCGGCAAGGACAAAGGAGAAACGCATTGTTCGTGAGGATGTGATACTAGTACGAGCTCAGGTAGATTGAAGGAAGAAGATGCTTTGCCTTTACGTGCTGAATACCGTTCCTTATGTAGGAGGACTACTGAAATGCCCCTTCAAATTGATGTACTCGCAATTCCAGTTGAATGCCACCAAAATTTACCGTATGAAGCATGGTCTATTGGCAATTGGTCGTGGACCGAGATATCAGCATCCGAAGCAAGGTCAATGCCAAGCATATTGCCACCTAATGAGATCTGCCTTGTGAAATAATTTCTAACGATTTGGCGAGGAACAAAATGTCACCGTACGAAGCCAACTCGCAACAATGAGTGACCAACTAGATTCAGCCTGTTGTTTGAAGTAGGTACCGCATGACCACTATGGGCCCGTTGGGGCGTAGCCATTATGATGCGCATGTGAGGCATCAGCGCAAGTGTTCAAACGTTCGTATATGTTTCATATTCAGGTTTAAGCGGTTTCTTCTTCAGCTGGCATGTGGGCGGAGTGTTTAGTGATTCCCGTCCCACGTGTGACACGTTGCAACAACAAAGAGTCATGAAAGCATTGCTCACTTAAAGAATGTGAAGGTCGAGTATTCTGCACAGAGGCTAGAAGATAAGCTATCGTATCCCTGTAGGCCTGCCACTTGTCAAAATTTAAGTTTTCAAGGAGCGTCAATCAAATGACGTACCTGAGCGGTCAAAGTAGGGGATGAGGCTCCAACACGCGGCGGTTAATCTAGATTATTTCAGTTGGAACCCTCAGAATGCCTCGCCCATGGACGACACTGGGAGAAAATCAGTCATGTTGACAGATTGAAAACACACCCAAGGTAGGCTGACAGTTGTAAGTACTGTTGACATGAAGGGTTGAATTTGACGTGGCCGCGAGGAAGCATTGACGTAGCATAGTAGGTGTGGAGATTAAAATTAGTACGGTGACCATGGAGAGAATTGGTCGTGGTAGTATGAGTGGTGCTTGAAGTTGGAGCTCCTAGATCCCGAAAGAGGTTGCAAGGCACCTTGATCGTCCGTGAATGTAAGGTTTATGGAAACTCTAGGTCTAGTCTATATGGGTCCTGTCTGGGTCCTGTCTGGGGGTGTGCCAGCCGCCCGGCCAGATTGAAGCGGAGTTCAATTCCAAATCGGGACGATATGAGTCAGCTTGTAACGCCTACGGTATACCACCCTCCGCCTCCCGCTTGCTGTTTCCTATGTTGAGAAAGACCAAAAGATTCGCCTAGAAATCTGGTGGTGCTGGGTGGTAGAAAATGAGGCGCCAAGGAGGTAGAAATTCCGTAAGGCTGAGGAAGGAGGATGTCATCTTTGATCATACTGGCTGAGTTAACGAAGCGGGTTAAAGACAAATATAACAGGCCTGCGAGTTCGGCTTCATTGGAGAGTCCCGCAAAGTGAGTGACGACATCCATGGCCCCGCCGGGTGCGTGGTCGTCGCGGTGAATGTCGACGAGCTATATTAGGCCTGGTGCTCAGCGGTCGTGCCGCACCGTGGTAGTCCAGATCATAATGCTACCCAAAGCGGCATATCGGCATCTGCCAAATTTCAAATTCCTCGCTTGGCCTGCCAAATCACTCTGAGTTCGACCAGTCTGACTACGTCAATAAATTCTCACCATCTCAAATTGACGCACAATCAGACTAGTTACGAGTCTAGACGAGCTAGGGGCTGGCGCAGTCGTCGTGCGTGTGTGTGAGTACTCACTGGACGTGAGTCGTGACGCGTGACTTCCAAGCTGACTCACATCTTCCTGATTTGGAATTGAACTCCGCTTCAATCTGGCCGGGTGGCTGGCACACCCCCAGACAGGACCCAGACAGGACCCATAATAGACTCTACGTAGACTAGACCTAGAGTTTCCATTTCCCGGACGTCCTCGATCGTCCTCGCCACGTCAGTGAACATGGGCTTGCAATTGAGCGGCGGCCTAGTGATTTCAGAATTGCTTGATGTCGGAGTTGTTGCCGAAATGATACAGGCACGTGATCGCGTCTCATCGGGCTCCGATACCGCTAATTAGCATTAGCCTGAGCTTATAATCATCGCTTGACACCCTCATGTCCACCACACAGTCTACACCCACATCCCCGACAACCCAACGTGTGAAGTCAGCTCCTAGAGTGGTCTCGTCTCCACTGCGGCCAACGTCACCTCAAAGCTCTTCAACCGTCATTCCCTCCAACTCTCGCCGATCCTCACTTGGTGTTGGACAAACGCCTCGTACGAAAACACCTCCAGGACCCCTTGCAAAGTCTCGGGCTAGAGATCTCTTGAGGAAACACTATGGTCTTGGAGTAGGCCCACCACTACCTCTACCTGGGAGATCAGACGACCCCATGGATTTAGGTATGCTTTTGAAAGTCATAAAGCTCAACTTCAATTCTCATTCATCATGCTACTGAAGATTCAGCGGCCTTTGACGCAAAATCGTACTACGAACAACTTATAACCGCATCGTCTCTGTCGGCTTTGTTGAAACGAGAGAATGACCTATTGACAGGTTTGTGTCATCTAAATCGTGTGAGACGTTCACTCACGAACTTGGATGTTCAGAAATACGACAACTTGATGGCGATAGGCAGTCTCTTGTTTATAACCACCATCATGAGCTGATTGCAGCTAGCGATACCATAGCCGCGGTTCGTAAATTCACAAGGTCTATCTTTATGTAGTCTCATTTCTTTGTAGATGAAGACACGGGCGGAGGGCTTGGACGCAGACCTTGACCTACTCAAGGCAGCATTCTCAGAGATATCTCGCTTGGGCGCGAAAGTTTCCATCGAGGAACAGCCTCAGTCTGCAGATGGCAGCTCCCATTTATAAGTGCCTCCGCGGTCATCGAGGATACCGACCCGGCCCACAAATATATATAACGTCACAAAAGGAGTGTTTCATTTGCACAGGATACCCGCAAGCTCCAGGCTTGCTAATGCTATGGCATAATATAACTATAAGGAATAATGTTACGCAAGTCCGGCACGTCGCCCCCATCAAGCCCTTACATGAAGTTCTATCTGCCAGTGTGATCCCGATTTATGAACAAGACTAGTAATCAAACAGTCTCTCCAGATACTGAGAAACCCACGTGGCTTCCACTCAAGCCCGTATTTCTCGTATCCTTTTTCCACAGTTATCGATTTTCGCTGCCCAGGCCGATCAGTACCAACAAAAAAGGTGAGGACGCTTGGACGTACGTGGATATCGTGCACGAGGTCCTCGATGTACTTCGCCAACAACTTGAGCAATCTCTCCTTCTTGAGAGTTCCATTTTCGGTGCAGATCCGTCTTTCAACAACGAATTGACTGTATCCAGGCCACTGTAACGGAAGAATATCAGATTACTGCCAAAAATCGTCCGATATTCCAGCTTACCGTAATGAAGACCTTAATAAATCTCTCCCCTATGCCACTAAAGACCTGGTCATCGCCTCCTTCCACCTCTGGCTTATCTTCGAGCTCAGTCAGTTCGTCGACACGGAACGGCGTCCCCCCGCCCTTCCTGTTAAATTTGATGGCAGCATGCTGGGATCCAATCCTACTCCACGATGATGGAGAGGCGGATTTGTCAGTGATAACTGGCTGCGGGAGCCGATGAAATCCCGAAGGAATGACAGTCTTGTACATCTTTTGGGGCGCAGCGGGCGGCATGTTGGTCGTATATTTGGCAGGGTGCAAAACGTTCCTCTCAGGGTATGGGTAAGTGGAGCGAGCAGACTTCGGAAATTAGAAAGTGATAACGGCGAGTGCTTTACATGCACTTACAGATGCCTCATAGCTGCCACTGAACGAATGTGGGACAGCTGAGTATGGGGAGATGGGTCCTCCCTACAAATTCACAACACGTAAGTCGATTGCAAGCACCCCAAAACGCGTCACCTACAGCATATACGGGGGCCTGTGGCCGAACATATTGGTGTTGTTGTCCATGTGCAGGGCCGAGGGCACATGAAAGGTCCGGGTTTGCCGATGCCTGCGCACGTAAATACTGAGATATGGGTATGCCCTAAAAATTGTCATTACGCACATGTCAGCATAGTGAAAAAATATCTATAAGCATAGTCCTACATCATCGGGGGTAGCATTCAGCCGAACGGGATGATACGTTGACTGAGCCGGTACAGGGTCAAGTGCTCCGGAGAGTGTGGAGTAAGATGATGCTTGTGTAGTTTGCCTGGCGTCATGGAAAGCAAAAGGGTACGAGTAAGCCATTTTTTTTACTTGGAGAAGATAGGTATGATGGATGATGATAGTAACTTACCTGTTCTTGGCATCCGTGCAGGCATTTTATAGCACTCGTCCGTCAAAGCGCTATGTCCACATCCACCAGCAGAGTCCACAAGTATCTACAGCAAGATTACAATGGCGTGCTGTAATTGTATACACCAGTACTGTGGAATTTGTGTGATAACATGCAACAGGAATAGTGGATCGACATCTTTGTGGGAGGTGGTAAAGTGGCGCCTTTATCGTGGTATCATTGCACTGGAGATTTCCACCCTCGATCAGCAGCCGATTGGTAACTTGTAGGAATGGCAATCATGCTCGAGCGTTACCACGAGATACTTTTGTTTCGAATGCTGTGACCTCGCTTTGAAGTTAAAGAGAGAAAAATAAGAGAAGAAAGAAAACTGTTCGTGTTATATAAGGCAATTTTTATAATTGAATTGAATTTGTCAGAATGCGGAGCTCGGGCAACGACCGGTTTCTTGGGAGTTGGAGCTGCGGCCAGGCCACTTCAGGCAACAGTACTGCTTTCACTTGACAATGCCAAGTTTTTCTAATCGTACATGCATCTAAGGTGTGGTGGCAAGCAAGGTGATGGTGGCTCACCGTAAGTTCATATAAACAATCACTTACCAAGAACTGGCAGATATATCGTCCTATGTAGACGCCATCGTGATAGCTACTAATGGCAGGAGTCGAGACTCGTGCAGAGTCTATAGACATATATGTCATCCCGGCGAATTGGCTGCGTGCGATCCTGTAAAATCAACGTTCAAATGATAATCAGTTGGCAGGTCCGTCCTACTAGTTAAATGATGAATCCGGCGCGCTCAGGTTAGAAGGAGCTTGCAACTGGCGCCTTCATACTGAATTTTGAGCACCACAATTCAATCAGCCGAACAATTTTGTGGATATTTGGACAGGAAGGAGCACGGGTATGACGATGGATTTGCCGAGGCCCGTCTGGAAAATAGAATTTTAGTGATTGAAGGACCTGGCTCCAGATCCAGTACATGCCAGTGGTGTTTAGAGTCAGTCTAGAGCGCTCAATTAATTTCCTTTGATAGGCGGCTAGGCCCATCTGGTGGTTCCCGACTGCTACGGAAAAAGCAGTGCGCTCCATCGTCCGGCTACTAGCTTGAGTTTTATCACAAAATATCTTGCCCCCCTCCCCTCATATTCATGCTTGCGCGCTCGCTGCAAGGGGAACTCAGTTTTGAAACTTTTCTGAACTTTGAAGCTTGAATTAGAATTGCTATTTTAGATCACGGATTCAGATGCCTGTGGCTGTGTCTATTCGCCGCGTAGAGAACCGCAGTGACAAGTCACTGTTCTTGCTGAAATCTGTTCTACCTCTGCTTTTATGGCTTTCTCCCAAGTTGTTAGCGCACTCGACAGTCTCAAGGATCAGGCAAAAGACGCTATCTGGGCTCTCTCCTCATGTCTCTGCCAGCAATCAGCCAAAGTAAAAATTAATGGTCGAACGTGTCAGTCATACCCTTTGCAACGAACCTAGAATGTTCGTTTGTACCTAGCACGCTTGCTAATATGTGTTTGATGATCTCAGTCAATATTATAAAAGTCCTCGGCGAAGGTGGATTCTCCTTTGTGTATCTTGCACAAGACGAGATTAGTGGGGTACGTGATCTCACAGGTTCGCTTCTTACAACATCTTACATATACTTGGTGTACGTCTAGCGGCAATTCGCTCTCAAAAAAATAAGATGTCCAACTGGCTCGGAGGGCGTGAAGGAGGCTATGCGGGAGGTAGAGGCATACAGACGTTTTAAGTAAGTCAAGTTCATCATGGTTACCTTGCTGTCTTAAAGTATGCTATCAGACATCGAAATATCATCCGCATACTTGTGAGTGACAATGGATTATCTTTATGTAGTTCCTGAATGAATGCATAGGACTCTGCTGTCGTCCAAGATCCCGAAGGTGAAGGCAAGATTGTATACCTTTTCCTGCCACTGTATCAGGTATGTCTTTATGGTATGCTTTACTATGGAACATCCGTAGACCTTTTGGGATAAAGCGCGGGAACCTTCAAGATGCCATCAACCTCAACGTCGTGAATGGGAAGCACTTTCCTGAGCAAGATATGATTCGGCTGTTCAAGGGAACATGCGAAGCCGTGCGCGCGATGCATGATTACCACACGACTACTGGCTCCTCTTCCGCTCAACTTCAGCCATCCTCATCGAGTTCATCGCACGTGGAGGAGAACCACTCGGACGGAGAAGATGAGCTTTTCCCGCAACCAGAGGGCGATCATGAGGGTGGTTACTCTTACGATAAGTCTGTGAACATGCCCCTGATGACAAAACACCGTGCCGAGGGGGATGGGGACGTAATATTTGACGGTGACGAGGAAGCATCTGCAATTCAAACCTCTCAAAATGGCAATGTGCCGCAGGGAAAGAGCGAACGCGTTCCATACGCCCACCGGGACTTGAAACCTGGGTAGAAATATTGTCGATTTATGCAGCTACACCTCTGACATTTACATCACAGGAACATCATGATCGCGGACGATGGAGTCACACCTATACTGATGGACTTTGGGAGTACTGTAAAAGCAAGAATAAAGATAGATAGTCGATCGCTGGCTTTACTACAGCAGGTATACGCAGCTATATATCTATTACTGTACTTCATCTCATATTCGTCTCACAGGATATCGCCGCGGAACAAAGCACGATGGCATATCGTGCTCCAGAACTTTTCGATGTGAAGACGGGCGTTACTCTTGACGAGAAAGTCGACATATGGGTAGGTCTTCCCGTCGATCCTCACGCATTCTCTAAGCCTTCACCTTCACAGTCACTCGGATGCACGCTCTTCGCTCTCGCATACTCACACTCGCCATTTGAAAACATTCAAACGACTGAGCAAGGTGGCTCGATTGCGATGGCTGTACTAAACGCTCAATACAAGCACCCGAACTCAGCGTATTCACAAGGGCTGAAGGACTTGATTGATAGCATGCTGAAAGTTAATCCCAAAGACAGACCGGATATTCATCAGGTATGCGTTTCCTGTAGGAGTATCAACGTTGCTAAAATAGTCCCCCTAGGTCATTATAATGACCGACAGAGTACTGCAGTCACTGTTGTAGAGTTGTAGAGCGCTACACTATACCTTCATGACTGGGACTGTGTTCTTTTACTTATTTATCTCGCAGCTGTCTATGCCTATCTAACGGAGTCATTGTGATGTGAACTGATCGATACGCATCACCTACTTAAGTAGCCTTAGCTCTTGTCCGTTCTTTTTCACGAGGTGTCTTCGGTTTTCTGAGAGGTTTCTCCTGCGACCGTTTTGGAGATTGCTGTGGAGCAGAGGGGACTGCGACTTGATCCTTTTGCACCTTGCGCTGTTTCTTTGGAGGCTCCGATGGCTTTGGGGATGATGCGTCCAATTTTTCTGCGTTTTGAAGTTGAGAACCGGGAGGCTTCTGTTCTCCTTTCTTTACTGTCTTTTTATTGCCCAATGATGCTTCGGATTTCTTTGCGTCGTGAACTTTTGCACCGGCAGACTTCTGCTCCCTTTTCTTCACCAGTGTTTTGTCGCTAGTGGCAACTCTAGCTTTTTGCGACTTCTGCTTCTCAAGCGTCTTGCTTGCTGGCGACTCCTTCCCTGCTGCATCTTGGGATGGTAAAGCTTTTTCAGCGGCCTTCTTGGCCTTTGCCTTGGCACGAAGCTTATTGTGAAGCGTTCGCTTCTCTCTCATTGCTGCTTGCTTCGCTGACTGAAAACCTAGCTTTGAGAAACCCCGCCTTGAAAGATAGTGTGATACACCACTCACTCTTTTGAGGGCGCGCTTCGACAAACCGTCATCAGGACGATTCTGAGTACCAGTAGAATTTGAGGCCTCCTTTTGTACCGTCCTTGCAACTTGCCAGGCATCACTTTTAGGATCACATTTCGCTGCGAAGGTCTTGAAACGCTCGAAACGTCGTTTATGAGCCTGCGGCAACCTGAACCTCCGTCTTCTTTCAGTTGTATGTTCAGAGAAAGGGACATACGGTAGATGCTTTGTGGACTGTCGACATTTGAGTGCCCTTGATGACCTTGCCCTTGCATAATATACAAGCTCGGACATCTGGGTCGAGCGACACGATATAAATGGGGTCCTTCAACGCTTCTGATAACAAGATGGGCGGTTCTACATCATCCTCCATTTCATCTGCATCCTCATCTCCAGCTTCCTCCAGGTCCTCTTCATCTGATTGAAATTGTTCTGCGTCCGAGTGCTCGTCAGAGCTAGAATCCGAGTCTGATGCAGATTCATCCGAATCGGTGTCATTGAGCCCCATGAACTCTTTCATATCTTCATCGATTCCTAGTTCTTCCTCTTCTTCCAGCCTTTTGCGCTTCTTTTCGACTCGTTTAAACATGATGATGAGCGACAAAGGGAAGAATGAAAATTTAATGAATTGAGAACAATCATTAGACTAGCCATTTTCGATCGAAACTTTTTGCACAGCCACATTTGCATTTTCTTCCGCATCCTTTCATGCATCGTCGCGCCGGCCAATTGCTTGCAGACATCCGGCCCAATGTCCAGCCAATAAAATCATATCCGAAAGTAACGCCAATAAAGAAAGATGGTTCAAAGACCTCCAATCGTCAATTTCAAAAGTCACCGTCCAGTGAACTCGATGCAGCATTCAAATTAACGGATAAGCTTGTCCGTGTTGCCGCTGGCACCAAGTTCACTCCCAAACGCCCATGGAAGCACACGCAGACGTTACGAGGCGACGAAATGCGTCTATTGGAGAGGGTGAAGCCGAAGCCACCCATGACAGAAACGCAAGCTATTTTCGCAAATGATGTAGAAGATGCAGACTCTGGGGTGGGACCTGAGGACTCTTCGTCAGCTTCTACTATAGAGGTTGGATCCCTTGTTGAAATTCGAAGGTGGATTTATGGCTCATCTATTTATTTATTCTCGAAAACTTATGATATTGCAGGGGTTCCATATATGCACACGGTGTGGTCTTAGGCCATTCGTATATGAACGGTCGCATGTGGCATCTCTCCTTACTCAGTACAGGCGAAATTGTTCAGCATGTCGAGTCAGATGTGTACATAGAGGTCCCTCGCATTGCTGACAGGGACCTCGCCCTCCGCGCAGGCACCGGCGTAACCCCAGTGGACCGCGTAGAGACTAATGCGCGGGTTGAAATCCTGAAGTACCTACGGGAGGCCGAAAAAGAAATAAACAAAGCATTCATGGTTATTGGGCGGAAGAATACAACTCTATATCCCCGTGTGCGGGCGAAGCACCCAGACGAGTGGGCATCCATCAGTCTTTCAGAGGCTGCGAAGCTGTTGTGCGATTATAAACCGGAGAGCTGGTCGACTCTTTTCGCAGCGCATAAATATATCATGGGTCGCCCTATCGAATTTGTGCCCCACATGCAGTCTCACAGACTTGCGCTCATGTACGACGTGCGGCCAGAAAACCATGTTGTCAAACTGCAGAGAGTTGTGGATATGGTGCGGCAAAGGAGTCCGGAATTGGAGGCGTTTATCGAGAAAGCTCGGGGCCTCATTCTTAATGCCAGAGAGAAGGCTGCCGAATCTTGGGATGAGCCTCCGAGCAGAGTTATCGTAAAGGATACCACATTTTCTCCAGACTGATCGCACCATCCTTGATGTTTTGCACCTTGCATTACGCAGGACGCGTAACACCGGTATTGATCCCTTTTCTGGAGTGGTCACATCCATCATCAAGAGGGTTGGCTTGCATGCTCATAAAATGGTGGACGACGTGTGTCTGCGGCAGTTCTTGATAGAGATGGGGGAGATGGCCCCTTGGGAGGATATGGTAACCCAGAGGAAGGAGCTGAATCTGGACGCGACGCCGGACGAGGAGTCGCAGCGCGTCAGAGATCAAGACGCTCTTGTCAAGAGGAGCCTGTCTTCATTGCGACCATCGCGGGCGAAGGCAAAGCAACCATTAGGACCAGAAGACTTCTATGATCGTGATCTCGTCGAACATCTGCGACACGACTTCGGAAAATTACCAGTCTACGTGATTGACGACGTGAGCGCAGAAGAGCTGGATGACGGCTTGTCGGTAGAACCTGTTCTTAACGAGCCTGGTTCGGCTTGGATACACGTCCATATTGCAGACCCTACTGTCGTCCTTCCACCTACTCATGCCATCTCAGAAGCAGCACGTCGAATGTGCTCATCCGTATACTTCATCCACAGGACATGGCCTATGCTACCTCCTTCCCTTACCCACAACCGATTAAGTTTGGGCTCGCATTCTTGCAAGGGGGAGCCAGAGCCTGTGCTTACATTCAGTTTCAAGCTAGACACTGAAGGCAACATGGTCGACTACGATGTTAAAGCGGGTCTCATTCGCAACGTCAAGAAAGTTGATTACGATAGTGTGGATCGACTTCTTGGCAAAGAAGCTGTTCAATATGGCTACCCGTTCGAGGCACCCCAAACCCCTAGAGTCTCCCATGTATCTGTACTAGAAACAAAAGATGTGGAGAATATGCGTCTCATGGACGACCTGACACGCAAGTTCCGACAACGCAACCGTCAAACACTAAATCCATTCGTATTCTCGGCTTCAATGGCTACTCTTGTGGCCACTGAAAAACCAATCCATGGCGCTCCGACAACACCGGCTTGGAATGCTTCGTACCATCGTGGTTTTCCTAACCTTACCTATCAAGTGTACTCTCAAAGCATAGTGGAGCGCGGCTCGCGGTTGCTTGTTGCTGAATGCATGAAAACAGCATCTCGCGTTGCTTCGCGGTGGTTCGCCGCCAAGGGAGTGCCAATGTTGCGTCGTTCCGCACGGGCTCCGATAGCCCTCGAGGACAACAGAGACATCGACAAGCTAGTTGCGAGGATGGATGAGGATGGATTTGTGGATCACACGGAGTTCCTCCAGTCGAAATTGCACATTCCACCTGTCGAGTACGTCCTTGAGCCAGGTATGCACTGGTCCATGGGTATCCCAGAAGGGGAAGGTTATGTCCGTGTCACGTCACCGCTACGACGGTACAACGACCTAGTTGCTCATTGGCAGATCAAGGATGTACTGCTTCGGCCGAAGGCATCTACGCGTCTTTTCACTCCCGGGTGGCTTACTACCTACGCCACCGAGGTAATTGAGTACGAGAAGCTTTGGAAGCATAGTGATCGAAATCATCGCATGCAGTGGACACTCATGTACATCAAGCGCTTCCTTGACCACCCAAACCCTCCCAGTGATCGCGTCGACCCTTTGCATTCCTTCAGTGCATATATCACAGAGCCTAGCAGGAGGCGCGACGTGCTGACAAACGTGTTTCAGTGCCACATCCCATCACTTGGTCTACCAGGAACAATTGTCACGCCTAGGACCACGGATATTCCGGTAGGGCAGTATGTGAACGTAAGGGTCAAGGACGTGCAGGTCGGTTTGAAGGCGTTGTTCCTCCTGGAGCTATGTGGCGGCATATAGTTTTTATTTATTTAGATTTTTACACGTCGTAACACACCATAGTTTAATTCACTGCATGATTTACCGCTCACCTTATTCTCTGGAGTCTCTCCGTCGGAAGCAAGTCAGTTGTCGGGATATGATTGGTTCGGATGGTGAGATGACTAAGCCATGTACATGGTTCGACAACCTATTTTAGGAAGATAAAAACGCGCTGAAAACAAGTTACGCTTAGCCTATCAGTCGCGTCTTCGTGAGACCTGCCAGTGCTCCTTTAATTGGACAGCGCGGGAGCATTCACATCTTGTCTTCGTTTTTTCATGTCGTTCAATTCGACTGCCCCAGCTGCGGGCTACGTTGCAGCCGTCTTCAATGCTACGCAGCAGTATATCACCGCCTCTCCTGGTAGAGCAGTCCTGCTGGGAATCTTCTATACGCCAATTTTGATTGTCGTGCTGAACATTCTTAAGCAGCTCGTGAGCATCCAGCAACTCTTGGTTGCGTATCTACTGATGCAACGTCCTCAGGTTATTCCACGAGACCCTTCGCTCCCTCCAGAAGTCTTCCACTGGATCCCTTTCATTGGGTCCTCCATCGAGTACGGCAATGACCCACTCAATTTTTTCTTCAAGTGCAGAGAAATAGTACGGTCGTGTGACACACATTTCTCATGTCATGATTTATCTCATACTCTTCTCTAGTATGGCGATGTCTTCACATTTACTCTACTTGGACGCAAGGTTACTGTCGCACTTGGTGCTAAAGGCAACAATTTTGTCTTGGGCGGTAAATCGACTGCGTTCTCCGCGGAAGACGCTTACACGGTATGTACAATCATTTTGGCCCCGCACATGTCTTTCTTAACCCTACACAGCACCTCACGACCCCCGTCTTCGGTAAAGACGTCGTATACGATGTTCCCAACGAAGTGTTCATGGAACAAAAGAAGTTCGTTAAAGTCGGCCTTTCAACTGAGAACTTCCGGGCATACATGAGTATGTTCGATCAAGAAGTCGACGACTACATGCGCACCGACCGAGCATTCATGATCTGGCAAATGGACGACATCAATGAATGGGGACGCTTCGATGTGACAGACGTCATGGCCCAAATCACTATTTTGACTGCCAGTCGGACTCTGCAAGGCAAGGAGGTTAGGGAAGGTTTGGACAAATCGTTTTCTGCGCTCTATAACGACCTGGACGGAGGCTTCACCCCGCTTAATTTCATGTTCCCTAACTTGCCTTTGGAATCTTACCGCCGTCGGGACGAAGCGCACAAGAAGATGAGCGAATATTATACCGATATTATCCGCAAACGAAGGGAATCGGGCCACTCCGTAAGGCGTCTGCATTTATGAGATCTAACCTATATTCACAATGCATCCTATAGGACGAGCCTGATATGATCTCCGCGTTGATGGATCAGAAATACCGTGATGGCAGACCTCTCCGTGACCATGAAATCGCACACATCATGATTGCCCTTCTCATGGCAGGACAGCACACTAGCTCCGCCTCCGGTTCATGGACGCTTCTTCACCTTGCTCATAACGTCGAAGCCCAGTGAGTTTTGTTTGTTTTCGGCAGCCAACACATACTGATAATCATCATAGGGAAGCACTTTACCAGGAGCAAGTGGACCACTTCGGCAATCCAGATGGTTCTTTCCGCCCGATGACCTATGAAGGCTTCCGCAAGCTTCCAATCCTTGATTCCGTCATTCGTGAGACGCTCCGCATGCACCCGCCTATTCACAGCATCATGCGTTACGTTCGTTCTGATGTCCCAGTTCCTGCAACCCTCGCTGCCCCCTCCAAAGATGGTGTTTATGTCGTTCCAAAGGGCTATTATGTACTTGCTTCTGCCGCCGTCAGCCAGGTTGACCCCCGCATCTGGGTTAACCCTACGCAGTGGGACCCGACACGGTGGAGTGATCCCGAGGGCGTTGCTGCTCAGGCGTTCAAGACTTACTCTGACGAGAACGGCGAGAAGATTGATTATGGTTTTGGTGCTGTAAGCAAGGGAACTGAGAGCCCATACCAACCCTTTGGTGCTGGGCGACATAGGTGCATTGGCGAGCAGGTGAGCTTGATTATCTACTTGTTGGAGTAATCTGACTGATTTTTTAATAGTTCGCATACCTGCAACTTGGGGCCGTGATTTCCAACATTATCCGTAAAGTGGAGCTTAGGTTAGAGGATGGTATCACGGAGATTCCAGAGCATAACTACCATGTTCGTCTCTTCAGTTCCTCGTTGCTCATGAGTATTGTTGACCATCCTTCGATAGACAATGATCACGATGCCAAAGAAACCTCGGAATGTCTGTTACAGACGTAGGAGATTTGATTAGAGGACGTCCTCCGCTTCCTCTAGATACATATACCATACATCTTTCATATTTACTGGGATCCCGGTGACTTTCACAAAATATACCACTCCCACATACTAAACGCTGGGGTAAATTTATAGGGAAGAACCTTAAGTGCAGGGGACTCATCTTCGAGCCCTGACGCTAGCATCTCAGGAAAGTCGCGACATTGGCCGCAGACGCAGGAAGAGATTTGAGGTGTGCTCCTAGATATCTATGCCACTCAAGGCCACCTGGAATCGACATGTCCACCCCACGCACAGCTTCAAAGATACATCGTTATAGTTATGGTGGAAAAACGATATGAACTCGAATTTCAAAGACTTTACAGTGCAATTCAAGATAGCTAACAGTATTTACAAGGTATGACAATCATGATATAAACTCGAATTTCGAAGACTTTACAGGGTAATTCAAGATAGCTAACAGTACCTACAAGACAGGACATTCGAGCACTTGAAGAGGCACAGTATGTTACAACTCCGAGGTTCTCAGAGAGTATCCTACTTTCTACTCGCGTCGGTCCATGCATTCACACCCCGTAACTGCCGTCTACATCGTGACTAGTGTCAGCGGAATAAATCCATGAGAGAGTTGGAAGGACGTACCACAAACTGTTAGTTTGTGGAACACCCGTTAGAGATCACGGTACGTTGTGGACCTCTGATCATGATAGAGAAACCTCCGTCCCTAGTCGTGCAACGTCTATGCAGGGCATCGGACGCGGCTTTGGGGTCTACCCCATCTGGACTCTGCAAGAGTGCTTGACCCGCTTGCTCCCGAGTCAACACCCTGACTGGGATTTGAATTTCGGAAGACAAGACCATGCGGAATATCGCAAGCCGACGGTTGTCGATGGAAAGGAATCCATTTTTGCCTGAATCGAAGATGCGGATGGGATCGGGGAAATGCTCCCTCATGAAGGCAAGGGCGCCTCGTGGATCACTCAGCGCAGCGTCGACTATGGCTTGAATCTCAACATGGCTGTCAAGGGTGACATTGTATACGCGACTGCTGATGCTATCCTGTGTCCACCCGATTGCCCCCACAGGCATAGTGCGAACCGGCTGCAGCCTGTGATCGTCATGGGTAAGTTTATGGTACAACTTGAAAATAGCATTAATTGCTACTGAGAGAGCCTATATCCCAATGCCAAAGTCAGCCGTGAGAATGATTAGATATCCGTGACTCCGTACTATGACCCCACCGATGATGATCAACACCATTTTGAAGGAGTAATGGGGTGACGACAATGGAGTGAAAGGTACTCTGGTTGGCTAGGGTACGGTTGAAAAGTCGATCTTTTTCAATAGCTGTTTATAATACCTGTTAATACCTGTTGATACTAACACTGTTGAAAAGTCGTCGTGTCCTAAGGCCTGTTGAAGATTGTGAATAAATCTAGGGTGTGTGGGAACGTGTTGAATGAACTTGTGAGGCTCGAAAAAGTACAACCGGCCCCCCTCCCACCGCTAACCTTATTTTGACTTGCTCGTCGACGAGTCGTCGTTGGACTAACTTGCTCATTGTTTGCAATTGATAGGCTCTTGCATTCAAATTTTTTTCGGTACTTATTAACTCCATGCCAGATGAACAGACTGGCTCGAAGTTGACATGGCTCAACTCAGCAATACGTGCAGCCATAGGGTACGGTTGAAAAATCGCCACGACTTTTCAACAGCTGTTTATAAACAGGCTGCCTCAGATCGTTTATAAACAGGTGTTTTAAACAATTTTCAACCAATAGTTATTAACTGGTTGAAAATTATTTATCAACAGCGTGAATAATGATTTTGCAGTCAACTGTGCTCTTTTTCAATGCCGGGGCATTGCCCTGGGCCACCTGAACGTTATGTGAGCCAACGACGGGTACCATAGAGATCAAATTACGCAGTAAAGGAGAGCCGAGGTCAATATCTTCATCCACCTGTAGAATATTATCTTCTGGTACTTCATCATTTTTGTGAGCATCTATGAGGCCATCCTCAACATTATCTAACAAGTCCTCCAAGTCACTGTCGTATCCGGTGTCCACAGAAGGCAATGTCATGCCATCCGAGTCAGTAGCTGATTTGACTCCTGTTGTAATAGCACGAAGAAGGTCTCTGTCGATGTCACAGAACTTGTCTGTCTGTCGGTAGGGTTCCTTTCGTGGTCTCGATTTTATGGCCTATAGGATACATTACTATGGTGACAGTGCTGCACATGCTAATTATTACACACCTTGTTATCATACTATGTACTGTCCAATCTGAATCATGTTAACAAGTGTTTGAGCATTTTGGTTGTAGCAGCTCAGCTCAGCTGACGTGCGAAGTCAAATAATGTATTAGTATGTACCTGTAGCAGCTCAGCTGCAGGTATTGTTAGCTAGATACACGATGTATATACAGATATAGTACTAACCTCAGCGGATGTGCGAAGTCAGCTGAGGGAAGTTGCGAGGCGCGGGAACGAAAGGTATTTGTAGGTACTAGGAAATGAAAGATGGTACCGAGTGTCCATAGTAGCGAGGATTGATATAACAACACTCCCCCTCAAGCTGAGCGTAGGCCGAGGGCGGAAGCAAAATGTTTAGCTTTGAGATTAGGAAGGGGCATTGGTGAGTGTGTCCACAATCATACTATCAGTAGGGCAGTAAACGAGAGAAATAGACCCTTTTTCAACAGAAAAACGAATAAAATAATAACGAATGTCGATATGCTTCGTGCGCGCGTGAAACGCGCCGGAATTGGCAAGTGCGATAGTGGATTGGTTGTCCGAGTAGAGTGTGAGTGGCTGCATAAACCGGCGGAAGACTTCGGTAATGAAACGACGAAGCCATTCCAAGCCTCGGAGGCTTGGAATGGAGATAAACAAATTTTCCTGCTCAATACAGAGCACCGGACAACCGTTGACATCTACGTGTGTTATACACCACTGCCAGTCGATATATGCACGCGCTGCTGGAAAACGGCTGAAACTATGTCAGGTGCTGCGTCGGAGTCGGCCATGAGCTTAGCGTGATATTCTCGAACGCCAAGGATCAGGCGTGGTCCCAGCACAAACATCTGCACAACGTCCAAAATCTGAATCAAGCCAATAAAAGTCTGACTTTCTAGGGAATTTGGGTCCTATAGAAATGGTGAATCGTGGTCGCATGAAGAGATAAAATAGAGATCGACGCACTGTTAAGAATGTTGGAGATAGATTAACAATGACCTGGAAGCAAGAAACAGCAGCAAAGCTACCACGTCCGACCCTTTAGTGGGAAAAGAAACATTCATCGCAATATGAACTCACCTCGCAAAATAAAACACGTGAGTTTTCATCAACACCGTGAAACAATCCCCAATAATCCCTCCTGCAGAATGTTGTCGCAGTTCACGGAAGTGTTTTACTGCAATCCAGACTGCGAAACACAGCGTGAGGACCTCCCACACAGTGGTGAGTATCCAAGCAACAGAATCTAGGACTAGAATATCTCCCACGTAGACAATCGAGCACTGATAGGTGCCGGAGAGAATGAGTTCCTCTAGGATTGATAATTCAGCCCCTGTACGCATATTTTCATCCACAATCAAGCGTACCCCCTGAAGTGTGCATCGTTGCCATTACGATTATCACTGCGTCGACAATGTTGACGGCCAGAAAGGTGACAATGAGAAATATCAAGATCTTTCTGGATTGTTGATACATCGCATGCAGCCGAATGATGATGATGACTTGTAGTATATTTGAGTTCGGTCAATATCACTGAGACTTGTAGATGCAAAGCTCACCCCACAGCATCGCAAATACCACAACACCCGTCCAACTCCATACAATGTACACAATCCAGCCTAACGAATCCAGTCAGTCATTAGCTTCAGGTAGCACACACCAAACAGACTCACATCTGCGTAATTATAGCGTGGCGGTCATTAGCGAACCAAGAACTTAGTAATGAACCACACCCACTGCTACAGGGAACCGCAGTTAGTTGGAGGGGAATAGTAGTTGAAACGCGTGCAGAAGACTCACTGTATCTGTCAGCGAGATGGTCGGAACACTATCTGCATGCCGTTGTTCAGCAGAAGCGAAGACAATGAATGACTAAGGAAACATACTCAGGATGGCCAGGCTGAGCATGAGAGATAAAAATAGACGATTAGCACTACATCAATTGTTTGACCTTCCGAACATACACAGCATGAAAAATTCCAAGGTAGCGCACCTAGGATATATTGGAGTCAGTATAACATGGTAGCCACGACCGACAAGCTACATACACTGAGATACAGAACTGTCATTAGCGACCAGCGTTGCCTCTGTGATAAAGTGTATTTATATGGTTGTTCCCCTGACATGAGACCGTACTCGCCCAGATCAGTTCGACCTATAAACCATCCTCAGCAAGATGGCCGCTCAGGTTATCGCATTGACATACCTCTTGTCCAAATGTGAGTGCTGAGAATACTTGTTAGATATCAGCAGTCCTTTAATATTATATGCTTACCCCAATCATATGTCATTCCAACAGAGGCAGCAACTGCGAGACCGCAGCCATGAGGTTAGATTACGATATCAGCTTCAACATCCGACTGCTCTTCACGAACCTGTAAAATAGCTGGAGAAACGAAATGCATTGATAGCAGACCACCAAGTAGGGTCATTTGAGATTATGATCATATTGGTAGAGAATGCGTGTAGGTGAGAGGAGAGCTTCAAGTTGGTAGACATACAACACTCACATTCACACTATATATGCGTAAGTTGCTATCCAGTGCTTGTGTGGCAAATACCCAAGGGGTGACGTCTGTGCTCTCCATCATGGTGCAGAACGCTTGATCAACGTGAACGTGCCGGCCGGATGCGATGAGTTTCTTTATCATTTCTTTATATAGAACATTGTGGGTTGTGCCTGGAGCTTGAGGTGTTAGCTCTTTGCCAAGACGAGTACAAGTGTAGGAAGTACATGAACTTGATTAACGCGCGAAGAAATGAACGTTTACAAGCTCGGGCTACACACCTGGTATGAATTACTTGTGCACTAGCGAAGAGCACAGTAGTCGTTGGAAACAATATTATAGGCTAGTGCTGCAGCGCTGAGGCATTGACATGAGACACAACACGATATGAACGGTATATTATATAACAAAGGTACTGGAGGGGTGATATGCAGTGGAACATGTGATTAGCAATATGGTACATGGACTCGTTAGTAAGCACTTATCAAGTACATGGAGTCGAGATTTTCTATTCACTCAATGCTTGTGCCAACTGATCAATAGTACAAGCTTTGGAATAGAGTGTGCAACTTGACTTAGCTTCAACTTCCGCGCTTCGAATAACCAGCCTGAGTATATGCGCTGCGGAAAGGCGACCAGTGCCAAGAGCTAATAAGATTGTTAGCGAATCTCGGACCTCGCTGTCAGTCTCTCCTAACGACAAGAATGAGGCTGTCGTGATCACTACCGATATATGTAGTACAGCTAGTCCTCCAGTGACAGTGTTGCATAAAGAACTGCAGGATGAGTTTAAAATTCAGCCTCGCTACCTTTTCCGAGACCTTGACGTCCAAATCAGATCTTGTGGTATGAATAAGTAGTGATAGTTCTGCCAGGGCAGAACTTGACATCGGAATTCCGGTACTACCGTCCATTTCCGTGACACTAGTCACGCGGTGCTCTCCCTTCCATCCCATTCCAGTTCAACAAGGCAAATTCTCCGTGCATCGTGCTTTTCCTATTCACGTCGCACGAAGGACTCATCTTATATTGATGATAAATTCTGGATGTACCACAGTCCACTGTTACAAAGCTGTACAACAACTTCTAACTTGGAACCGGACGCCGAGCCGCCTATTTTCGCTGCCAAACGTTCCAAACACGTTCAATGTTCGATATTCGATGCCAAGTTTTTAACGTCAACGTCAAGGTTCCACGTGTTCCATTTTCACCATCAACGTCGATGTTCCATGTTCAACGGAGATCAATATGCCCTGTGTACAGCGATTATGAAGTGGCTAGTACATCGAGACATAAGCAAGCCTTAGCAAGGTCGTCACAAAGAGCTTTTCACTCCAGATAATGAATATTTCGATGAGGAAGCCAATGAACGGACTACCTGTTTTTTTCGTGGTGCAGGCACAAGCCTTCGACGTCCGTTCGTGGTCTCTCTCTCAGGCTATCCATGCCTTATAATAAATGTCTTTGTTTTTTCATGCTGTGCAATTCGACCGCCTCCTGGCAGCTGCAGGCTATATTTCGGCCGTCGTCGATCCTATGCAGCAGTAGGTCATCGCCTCTCCTGGTAAAGCAGTCTCTTCTATATGCCGATTCTCATGGTCGTACTGAAGATCCTTACTGGTGAGCGTCTAGCAATCCTTGATTACATAGTATCTACTGATGTGTGGCACCGGGTTGTTCCTCTAAGTGATACTCCGCATGCACACGCCTATTCACAGCATCATGCGCTACATTCGTTTCCATGTTCCAATTCTCACTGCCCCTCCCCCCAAGATGGTGTTTGCGTTCTACCAAAGGGCTACTATTAGTATGTGCTTCTACTGTCGTCAGCCACGTTGACCCCTGCATATGCCTTAAGCTATGAAGTGGTACCCACCACAGTGGAAATGATCCCGAAGCCGTTGCTGCTCAGGCGTTCAAGTCTTACTGTGATAAGAACGGGAGAAGATTGATTCTGGTTTCAGGGCTGTAAGCAAGGGAACGAGAGCCTACCAACCTTTCAGTGCTGCAGCGTAGATGCATTGGCAAGCAGGTACTAGGCTTGATATTCCCAACTATCCCTTTTGATGTAGAGCTTGGGGACGTGTTGCATGTGCATGCCTAAGGGCGCACTATCATGGTCGCAACCAGCCTCTGATAGATTATCTTTGGAAAATGGAAATGACTCTCGCTCCTTGACTCTGCCGTCCAGCACACCGCTTACCTTCGTTGGTACATCCAGGATATTGATTCAGACATGGTGAATCTCAGGACCTATAGCAAACGATTTGAATACATACTACGACGAAAATATTATGTCTCGTGAAATCTACTTCGCAACATCAAATAACTACATACTTAAGCACCGCAACGAGGCTTGGAATAGAAACCAAAAAAAAACGCCCGTACTCCCTGCAGCGGACTAGACAATCGTCAACTTCACCGAGCATTACACGCCACTGCCAGTAGGTGTATCCACACGCTCTTGGAAAGCGATTGAGGTCATAGCGGTCGCTACGTCTGAGTCGGCCACAAGCTTAGCGTTATATTCTCGAATACCGAGGATCAGCCGTGGTCCCAGCACAAACATTTGTATGACCTCGAAAATCTGAGAAAAGCCATATAAAGTCTGAATTCCCAGAAAATTCTGGTACTATGGAAATGATGAGTCGTGGTAGCATGCATAGGTACTAGGTGAAAGATTGACATACGGTCGAGAGTATCGGAGAGAAATTAAGGATGAGGGTGAGGCACGAAACAGCAACAAAGCTATCACGTCCAATCCTTCAGCGGAAAAAAGGAACAATAATCACAATATGAGCTTACCTCGCAAAGTAAAGCACATGAGTTTTGATCAATACCGTGAAACAGTCCCCCATAAACCCTCCTGCCGAATGTCGTCGCAGTTCACGGAAGTGCTTTGCCGCAATCCAGACGGAAAGACACAGTGTGAGGATCTCCCACACAATGTCTAGTATCCAACCAACAGCGTCCAGAAGTGGGATATCTTCCGCATACCCAATTGAGCACTGATAAGTGCCGGAGAGAATAAGCTCCTCTGGTATTCATCAGTCATGTATGTGTTTTCATCCACAATTAAGCGTACCCCCTGAAGTATGCATCATTGTTATTACGATGGCCACTCCGCCGAACACGTTGACAGCCAGGAAGGTGACAATGAGAAATACAAGGATCTTTCTCGATCGTTGATACATGGCATGCAACCGAGTAATCATGATAACTTGCAGCATGTTTCGTTAAAGTATCACTGAGTACTAAGGTCCCGCAAGTGACAAGCTTACCGCACAGCATTGCAAATAACAAAATACCCGTCCAAAACCATACGATGTACAAGATCCAGCCTGACGAATCCAGTCAGTGATCAGCTCCGGGTGGCATATGCACCAAACAGACTCACATCTGTGGAAGTATAACATGGAAGGCATTAGTAAACCAAGTTAGTAAAGAAGTGCACCCACTCCTACAGGGAACCACGGTTAATAAGAGTGGAATAACAGGTATCTGTGCAGAAGACTTACTGTATCTGTCACCGAGACGGTCGGAAGATGACCTGCATGCCGTTGATCAGAGGAAGCGATTATAGTAAATGTGGTAAGGAGACGGACCAAGCATGGCCAGGCTGATTACGGGAGAGACAATTAGCACAGCATTGATTATTTGGCCTTCCGAGCATACGCAGCATATAAGATCCCAAAGCATCGCACCTATGATACTTTCCAGTCAGCACAATATGGCAACGCCGTCAGACAAACAAGCCACATACACCAAGATACAAAACTGTCATTAGGGACTAGCGTTGTCTCTGTGATTGATTGTACGTTCATGTGTGTTCCGTTGACACGGGACTCTACTCACCCAGACCAATTCGACCTGTAAAGGAATTCTGAGCGGAATGGCTATTCTAGTCATATCATTGACGTACCTCTTGTTCAAATGTAAGTGCTGAAAACACTTGTGAGATATCAGGAGTCCTTTAACATTATCGTGCTCACCCCAATCATACACCACTAGAACGAAGGCAGCAACTGCGAAACCATAGCCAGGGTTAGATTGAGGCATCAGCGTCAACATCCGACTGCTCTCCACGAAGCTGCAAAATAGCTTTCAAAATAATATGCATTGATGTACGACCACCAAGCAGGATCGTTTGAGACTATGGTCATATTAGTAGAGAATGAGGGTGTGAATGAGGAACGGACAAGGTAGACGTATGGTGACCGCATATATCATACCACGGTCCACCATCCAGTGCTTGGATCGCCAAATGAGATCGAGGGCTCATGACCATTCCTCTGTTATTGGACTTTCGTATCATACAGTCCCCAACAATGATGAGCGTAGAATCATCAATTTGCATCGTGAAATCAATTGGTGCAGTGCTGACAGTGCATTAGTTTGCATAGCTTGCCTCGTTGCGAATCCCTGATTGGTAGATACAATGGCATCCCTAGATTCAAGCAGCGCTCATGAGAGAGGACATGGAGAAAGAAGACTCGGGCGCACTGATGACCGCATAAAGCCAGTTTTTCAAATTGTACAGGCTTATTTCATTTTCATAAAAGTTGATCGGCGAGCCCCAGCAACGTGGGTCGGAATAGTTTGCTGTCCCTAACATTCTTGATAGGAACAAGGGGAGAGAAGTTGGATGTATAAAACAAGGGAAAAGCAGACAGACTACTTACCTGTACAATCTTTTCAATGATTATTTTGCATGCACATACGCACACATTCTCGTCCTCCACCTTGGTCAATCATAAGGATGCTCATAAACGGTAAGTGCAAAATCTGATACAAGATACATCACACCCCATTTACGGTGTGCGGTTGATGGGACGTGCCAGTGGACGTATTGGCAATCGTCACAGGCTGATTCGCAATCCATGATTGATGTACAAAGAATATTCGACTAGAAACAGAATATTGATGTAAGAGACAAAGACCCAGGCTTCGTTCTTATAGCCACAGTATGAAAGATTTGATGATCATGCATGATGAGCGCCGGTCAGCTGAGTTTCAATTCAACCTAGGAATGTGTAGTGCCACCGACGCACCGTGACCACCTGCCCAGGCTGCCCTCGCCGATCAGAGAGCATGGAACCCTCCCTCCCACTGGTATGCTCTCAAATCTCCCAGAATACCATTACGACCTGGAGCACCCCCACACGCACTTTCGAAATCCGCAAACCTAAATCAGTAAATGTCAATATCATTTTGAAGACATCTTGGCCCGGCGTCTTTGCCCCATCCATATAATCACTTTACAAGTCCTGCCAAGGCGCCGACGTACCGGAGTTGGTCTCTTCCACCAGCCAGCTACATCAAGCAGCAGATGATGATCGACTCCCGCACTTTCGCTGCAGATGCCTGCGTATTCGTTTCTGGTCCGTCGCCGTTTTGAACTACGTCAACAGGTCGCTTTATGTTTGTTGTGCGATTCCTAGACGTTAGCACCCTGGATTGATTCGGATTTTCCTGGCTCCAATGACGAGGTCCCAGCCAAAGGATTATGGCCTTCGTATTACAATGCTCAATAAGGTACATGTATTCCCCAGTAGTGCTTCAGTAACAATTTTAAAGACATTCATATTCGTATCCGTGTTTCCGCCCCATCGAACAAAAGTAAAAGCCAAGCTCCTCCACAAGCATTGACTCCAACTTCGTCAAGACTCACCCAAGCTATGCGTGCACGAACGTGCTGCGCGCACCTCGTGATCATCTTGAATGAATCTTCTGTAAGTCAGTTCGCATGAGTCAGGTGGGACATTGAACAAGACGAGAAGATGAATCGAGGACGGGTTGCTGAATTCAGGATCTTGGTTTAAACATCGTCAGCACTGGCACATATAGCAATACTACGATGAAAACTTTGCCCAGACCTGTGCCCTTGAAATCTACCTCGGAACACCAAATAAATGAAATTAATAACATCGCAAAAGTAGGAATAAGTAAAAATAAAATCCCCTGCTCTTCGGAGAGCACCGGACAACTCGTGTGCTATACACCACTGCCAGTCAATATATACACGCGCTCCTGGAAAGCCATTGAGGTCATGTCAGTTACCGTGTCGTAATCGGTCTTGAGCTTAGCATTATATTCTCGAACGCTCAGGATGAGGCGTGGTCCCAGCACAAACATCTGCACGACCTCCAAAATTTGAAGCAAACCATCAAAGGGGTAGCTTTTTAGGGAATTTTGGTCCTATCGAAATGATGGATCATGGTCTCATGCAGAGGTAGTGAAAGATTGACATACCGTTGGGAGTGTTGGAGAGGAATTAAGAACGAGCCCGAAGCAGCAAACAGCAACAAAGCTACCACGTCCGACCCTTCAGTGGAGAAAAGGAACGATAATCACAATACGAGCTTACCTCGCAAAGTAAAGCACGTGAGTCTTCATCAATACCGTGAAGCAGTCCCCCATAAACCCTGCTGCCGAATGTCGTCGCAGTTCACGGAAGTGCTTTACCGCAATCCAGATGGCGAGACACAGCGTAAGGACCTCCCACAAAATGGAGACTATCCAAGCAACAGGAATCAACATGTTGCTATGCCCTGTATATCCAATCGAGCACTGATGGGTGCCGGAGAGAACGAGTTCCTCTTGTATTCATCAATGAGCACCATGCAAGTTTATTTTAATCCACCATTAGGCGTACCTCCTGAAGTATGCATCATTTCCGTCATGACTACCACTCCATCAAAAATGTTGACAGCCAGGAAGGTGACGACGAGAAATATCAGGATCTTTCTTGACCGTTGATACATGGCATGCAATCGAGTGATGATGATGACTTGCAGATGTTTTAGTCAAGTCATTATCACCAAGATCTGGCAAGCGCCAAGCTCACCCCACAGCATTGAAAATACCAACACACCTGTCCAGCTCTGTACAACGTACATCATGAAGCCTGACGAATCCAGTCAATGACCAACCTGGTAGCGCACAATCCAAATAGACTCACATCTGTGGCAGGTCGGCGTGGCAGTCGTTAGTGAACCAACAAATTAGAAAAGAACTTCACCCACTGCTACAGGGCACCACAGTTCATCGGAGGGGAATCATAGGCATCTGCGCAGAAGACTCACAGTATTTGTCAGCGAGATGGTCTGAATTTTGCCTGTATGCCGTTGGTCAGAAGAAGCAACGACAGTGAATGTACTAAGGAGACATACCAAGCATGTACAGGCTGAATATAAGAAATAGACGATTAGGATGACACCGATTGTTTAGCGTTCCGAACATACACAGGATATAAGATTCCAAGGTAGCGTACCTAGGATACTTTCAAGTCAGCGCGACGCGGTAGCCAAAACAAACAAGCTACACACGCTGAGATACAAGACTGTCATTAGGGTCCAGTGTTGCATCTGTAATTAAGTTGATTTTCATGTTTGTTCCTCTGGCACGAGGCTGTATTCACCCAGACCAGTTCAACCTATAAAAGAATTCTTAGCGAGATGGCTGCTCTGGATGTAACATCGACATACCTCTTTTCCGAATGTAAGGGCTGAAAATACTTGTAAGATATCAGCAATCCTTTAATATTATGATGCTCACCCAAATCATATATCATTACAACAAAGGCGGCAACTGCGAAACCACAGCCAAGGTTAGATCGATACATCAAGACATCCGACTGCTCTCTACGCACCTGAAAAATAGCTCGAAAAACGGTATGCATTGATAGTCGGCCATAATATGGGGTCACCTGGGACTATGATCATATGGTCAGAAAATGGGGTGTGGGTGATATGACGATGGCACTCGTGCTAGTTATACGGTTACCACCGTGATTGAGCGCTTATATCGCCAAAAATGATTTCCATGCACCGGTGATTGATCACCCCAGCTGTGCGTCCTAGACTTAGTAAGACTCCATCAATTTGCGTGACGAATCAAAAGTTAGCGGAGTATATGTTTTTTCATCAAAGTGGCACTGATAACTCGCCACATTGTCATTCTTGTGACACTATACAGTCCAATATTAACGATTGAGGTAACAAATGCCAAAAAATAGCGCACTGGCAAGAAATTTAGTTTGTGCTGTTTGTTTCTGTACAAGGATAAACGGACTTGATGATGTGAGCCCGTGCAAGAGCAATATGTTGCACGCATTCTAGTAGCGTTAACAGACCGCGCTGACTTCTTGGACCTTGGTGAAACTGAAGATGATCAAATGAATTCGAGCCTTTTCGATCATATCTACGTTTTGTCAGCAGTTCTCACATCTCACCGACGGACCGACGTGACCAACCATCTCCTTCTTTACCCTCGAATTGATACATAAATCACTGCGTGCTTCTTCGAGAATCGATGGCACTGCGCCAACTCAATTTTAGAATGGACCAGCGGAGTTTGCCAGTGACACGTCCAACTTGACTCGAGTTCATATGGTCTCCACGCTGTCAAATCACTTCCCTTGCTCGTCAGCAGTACTGGTGTGCTGTACATCCGCAGTGATATCATTGCGTGGTAATCCGCTGTGAGTGGCCCTGAAATATCTTTGCGATTCCCCTCACAGGTTGTCAAGTTCAGCTCCGGAATATCGTCCCTACTACCCATTGACGACTCATCGGCATTGGCTATCCTTTGGTACCGCAAACACATATGTATCTTCCTCACAACTACCCCACGCATCCTCATTCTCTTCTTATTCACCTTCAGATCCCATTACCAAGAATTCCTGTCCCGAGATCCGCTGATAATTCGCTGACTGCCCCATCAGAATTTGGATTCAATGTTGTCATCACAATCCTCCAGAGTTAGAATCGATCTTGTAGCGGCTACCTTCTTCGTCCACACGCGAAATTCAGAATGAGAGTCGATGTTACCAAGAGGCTAGCAATGATAGAAAGTGGAAAAAATTACAGCATGAGCACAGCTGTCATCCTTGCAAGGTGTGCTATTCGTTTCTCGACTCACAGCCATTGTCGAAGTTCCTGAGCCAGAGTATCAACTTTCACCATCCACCACCCGCCAGTGTTGGTGTGCGCTTGTGATATGGCTCAAAATAGTTGATATGGTGAAGCATTCACATTTAAGCTTTATTTGCAGTTTCGCTTTAGATGAATGCCAGGAGATGCGTGAACGGTTGTTATTGGACATTGTGGCAGAGTCCATTTTTCTTCACTTGCCATTGGGCCCGTCCTCTCCAGTGCGCACTAATCCTTCCATTTCCTCGACTAACCGAAGCAATCTTCAACTACGCGAGGACGACCAAAGTACGATCGCGTGACATGACTCTTCTTCGGCACGGCGATGTCTTCACGCTCACCCTACTCGAACGCAAGATGACGGTCGCGCTGGTGCTAGAGGCAAAAACTTCGTCTTGGAAGGTAAATCAACTGCTGTCTCTGCGGAAGATGCTTACACGCTATGTGCTATTGTTTTGGCCTCGCAGATGTCGTCCTTAACCAAAACAGCACCTCACGACCCCCATCTTCATTGAAGACGTTGTATACGATATCCGCGACGAAGTACTCATGGAGCAAAAGAAGTTCATCAAAGCCGGCCCTTCGACTGAGAACATCCGGGGCATACGTGAGCATGTTCGATCAAGAAGTCGACGACTTGCGAAGCGAACGAGCAGTCATCATCTGGAAAATAGACGACATCAATGAATGGGGACCCTTCGATGTCATGGATGTCATGGACCAAATCTCTATCTTGACTGCCGGTCGGACTCTGCAGGGCAGGGAGGTCAGGAGTGTCTCGGACAAATCGTTTTCTGCGCTATCCAACGACCTGAATGGAGGCTTCACCCATAGAACAAGCCTGATATGATCTCTGCGTTGATGGATCAAAAATATCGTGATGGCAGACCTCTTCATGGCCACGAAATTGTGCATCATGATTGCCCTTCTCATAGCAGGACAGCACTAAAGCTCCACCTCCGTTTCATGGACGATCACAGAACACACCTACCATGCTCGTCTCTTCACTTCATCATTGCTGACAAATATCATTGACCGTCTTTCCATAGACAATGATCACGATACCAAAGAATCCTCGGAATATCTGTTAAAGATGAAGGACATTTGAGGGTGTGCTCCTGGTCATTCGTCTAACGTGCTTATTTCTGATGCGTATCGTACTCTTATTGATTTTTAGCAATCTAACAATACTAGTCGATTAGTGTTGTTTGATCAGTATTGCGAGCAAGTCAAGAAAAGGTCTAAGATTATAGTCTTGCACTCCGGTGCGAGATTATCGAAGGAACAACTGAATATGTGATCAGACTAGGGGAACGATGGCCACGTAGTTGTTGGGGCATCGGAATACAATATCGTTGCATTAACCATTTTCTTGATGATCCATTCTGATGTACGGCTTAGGGAATGTGTTGCAAGTACATGCGCAGTGGCACTATCATCACGACGAGCCTCCACAGTAGATTGTTTTTGGAAACAGATGGCGTACAAACATCTCGACTTTCCCGTATACTGCTTTCCTTCATTATCAGATATTAGATATTGCTTGAAACATTCTCAATGTCAGGACCCACAGTACATGATTCAAACACAATTTACAACGAAAATATTCTATCTCCCTGAAATCTAAACCGCGACATAAAATAACTACTTAGGCACCACAACGAGGCTTGGAATGTAGAAGAAGAAAAATCCTGTGCTCTCTGCCTGTAGAGCCCTAGACAACCAACCGCGTCAAATCCACCGAGAATTACACACCACTGCCAGTCGATATATGTACACGCTCCTGGAAAGCGACTGAGGTCATGCCAGTTGCTGCGTCGGAGTCGGCCATGAGTTTGGCGTAATATTCTCGAATGCTAAGGATCAGGCGTGGTCCTAGCACAAACATCTGCACGACGACCAAGATTTGAAGGAAGCCAAAAAAAATCTGAGTTTGTAGGGAATTTATGTTCTATGGAAATAATGAACCGTGGTCGCATGAAGAGGTAAACGAGAGAGTGACATACCGCTGAGAATGTTGGATAGAAAATAATGATGAACTCGAAGCAAGAAACTACAAGAAAGCTAGTCCGACCCTTCAGAAAAAAAGGAACAATAATCACAATGAGCTTACCTTGAAAAGTAAACCATGTGAGTTTTCATCAACACGGTGAAACCGTCCTCAATAATCCCTCCCGCCGAATGTTGTCGCAGTTCACGGAAGTGTTTCACCACAATCCAGACTGCAAGACATAGCGCGAGGACCTCCCACAAAGTTCCAAGTATCCAAGTAATGGAATCCAGGAGTACGATATCTTCCCCAGTAGTTGACCTGGCACTGATAAGTGCCGGAGAGAATAAATTCCTCTGGTGTCCATCAATGAGCCCATGCACGTTTGTTTTCATCCATAGTCAAGCGTACCTCCTGAAGCTTGCATCATGGTCATTACAGCGACCACTCCGTCAAAAATGTTGTTAGCCAGGAAGGTGACAATGAGCAGCATCAGGATCTTTCTGGATCCTTGATACATGGCATACAACCGAGTGATCATAATGACTTGCAGCATGTTTCAGTAAAGTCAATATTGCTGAGGTCTCGCAAGTGCCAAGCTCACCCCACAGCATTGCGTCTACCACAACACCCGTCCATTCCCGCACGGCGTACATAATCCAGCCTGACGAATCCGGTCAGTGACAAGCCTCGAGTAGCACACACTCCAAACAGACTCACATCTGTGGAAGTATAAAGTGGCAGCCATTAGTGAACAAAGAACTTAGTAAAGAACCAAACTCACTCCTACACGATTAATTGGAGGGGAATGGCAAGAGTCTGCAGAAGACTCACTGTATCTGTCAGCGAGATGGTCGGAACAATGACTGTATGCCGTGAGTCAGAAGAAGCAAAGATAACGAATCTACTAAGGACTCCAAGGAGACATACCCATGATATTCAGGCTGGTTATGAGAGATAGACAATTAGCACGACATCGTTTGTTTAGCATTCGAAACATACGTAACATATAAGAGTCCAAGGTAGCGCACCTAAAATACTTTCAAGTCAGCACAACATGGAAACGACCACAAACAAGCTACATACACTGAGATACAGGACTGTCATTAGAGACCAGCGTTGCCTCTGTAATAAAGTGTATTCATAGGGTTGTTCCTCTGACATGAGACCGTACTTCCCCAGATCAGTTCGACCTATGAAAGGATTCTTAGCGAGATGACTGCTCCGGTATAGCATCGACATACCTCTTGTCCGAATGTAAGTGCTGAAAATACTCATTAGATATTAGCATTTATTTCATATGACGATGCTCGCCCCAATCATAAGTCACTCCAACAAAGGCGGCAACTACGAAACCGCCATCAAGGTTAGATCGAGATATCGGCTTCAACATCAGTCTCTACGAACCTACAAAATAGCTTAAAAACCGAAATGCATTGATGGTCGGCCACAAAGTAGGATCGTTTGAGACTATAGTCATGTTGGTAGAGAATGGGTGTAGGTGAGAGGCAAACTTGGTGAACGTATGGCGACGGTATATATACCACCATCCAGTGCTTGGTACCCAACATAAGAATACTGCGGGATGATGATCATCCCCGCCTTGATTGACCAAAGATACGCCCAGCGTATATGCACATTGGTCATGGAACATTTCATTTTCGACGGGCAGAATACTTACGACACCGCAAAAGACAGAAAACAAATTGCGTCGGCATACCAACACTAGATCAAAAATAAACCGTCCGCGTCAGGGGAGATCCACAACGAAGCAAACAGATAACTCATGTTCTATCCATGTGCGAGCACATATCTCAATGCCCACTATCCCTTCTCTTCGTCCTACTTCATGTGGACCTTCTTTCGCTCTGCCTCGGTTATCGGGATTTCGTATCATAAGGTTGCCAACAACGACAAGCGCATAATCTTGGATCTGCATCGTGGAGTGCAATGCTGACGGGGTATCGGTTTGCATGGCCAGGGATAGCATAGTTGGAAATTACTGATGTAGATAGAAATGTCATCCCTAGAATCAAACAACGCTGAGAGAGTACATGGAGAGAAAAAACTCGGGTGTGCCGATGACTGCATGAAGCCTGAGGCCTAATTTGTTGTTCTTCAAATTGAACAGGCTTATTCTCTGTAAATGTTGGTCGACGAGCCTCAGCAGCATGGGCTCTTAAGTGTATAAGAGTACCGAAGGCAGTAACATTCTGTTGACACAAATTGGGACGTCATCAGAAAGGAACGGATTAAGAGAGTAGCTCCACTGCTGTACAGTTGCCAATGCACCGCTTATTCAAATGAAAACCAATGCAAAACTTGCTCTTGGGCGTGACTTGGATGCGACCCTTCGGAATAGCTAGCTGTCTCGGTGGGAACCAAGGGGAGCTTATGTCGACATGGCATTACTTACCTGTGAAACCCTTCAATGAATAATCCGCGTCTGAGTTATGTACATACACACCTTATCGTCCTCCACTTTGCATTTGGTCGTCGGCTTATCGCATCATATAAGGATGCCAATAGATAGTAGTGCGGAATCTAGCACAAGATCCGAGCAACATGCGGTGGATGGGACGTGGATACATTGATCGTCACAGCCCGATTCTCAATCCATGATTGATGTAGGGTAGATACATCCCTCGACTACAAACAGAAATGAGAGAGACGAAGACATGGGCGTCGCTCTTACAACCACAGGAAGCCTTGAAATTATGCTATGAAGAAGATTGTTGGATGAGCGCCGGTCAGCTGAGTTTAAAATTAACCTCAGAGTGTACAGCTTAGAGATGCGTTGCGGGTGCATATATGATGGCGCACTATCTGGTCGCAACGAGCCTCCGCAGTAGATTGATTTTGGGAACAGATCGCCTATAAGCACTCGCCCCTCGACTTTCCCGTTCAGTACACTAGTACTGCTTTCCTTCATTAGGTCAGGGATATACAGGATACTACGTAAAATATTCTCAATGTCAGGACTTACAGCAAATGATTCGAACACATACAATAAAAATATTTTGTCTCGAGATCTACTTTGTGACATCAAATAATTACTTGACCACCACAATGAAACTTGGAATGAGGGGGAAGTCCATTTCTCGTGCTCCCTGTAGAGCACTAGACAACCGACCGCGTCACCTTCGCTGAGCATTACACATCACTGCCAGTGGATATATGCACACGCTCTTGGAAAGCGATTGAGGTCATAGCAGTTGCTGCGTCGGAATCCGCCATGAGTTTAGCGTTATATTCTCGAATGCCAAGGATCAGACGTGGTCCTAGCACAAACATCTGCACAACATCCAAAATCCGAAGCAAGTCATGAAAAGCACGAGATTCTAGGGAAATTGGATCCTATAGAAGTGATGAATCGTGGTTGCATGCAGAAGAGTGAAAGATTGACATACTGTTGAGAGTGTTGTAGAGAAATCAATAAAGATCTCGAAGCAAGAAACAGCAAGAAAGCTGCCAAATTCGACCATTCAGTGGAAAAAAGAAACAATAATCAAAATATAAGCTCGCCTCGCAAAGTAAAGCATGTGAGTTTTCATCAACACCATGAAACAATCCCCAATAATCCCTCCTGCAGAATGTTGTCGCAGTTCACGGAAGTGTTTTACTGCAATCCAGACTGCGAGACACAGCGTGAGGACCTCCCACACAGTGGTGAGTATCCAAGCAACAGAATCCAGGACTAGAATATCTCCCATGTAGACAATTGAGCACTGATAGGTGCCGGAGAGAATGAGTTCCTCTAGGATTGATAATTCAGCCCCTGTATGCATATTTTCATCCACAATCAAGCGTACCCCCTGAAATATGCGTCGTTGCCATTATGGTGACTATGCCGTCGAAAATGTCGACAGTGAGGAAAGCGACAATAAGAAATGTCAGGATCTTTCTTGATCGTTGATACATGGCATGCAACCGAGTGATGATTATGACTTGCAACATGTTTCAGTCAAATCAACATCACTGAGTACTGAGGTCTCGCAAGTGCCAAGCTTACCCCACAGCATTGTATATACCACAAAACACGTCCAATCCCATACGAGATCTAAGATCCAGCCTGACAAATACAGTCAGTGAACCTCGGGTACTAGCACACTCTGAAAAAACCCACATCTGTAGCAGTATAGCGTGACAATCATTAGTGAACCAAGAAGTTAGTAAACAGCCACACCCACACCTACAGGGCACCACAGTTAATCCGAAGGGAATAGCAGACATTTGTGCAGAAGACTCACTGTATCTGTCTGCGAGATGGTCGGAACATTATCTGTATGCCGTTGGTCAGAAGTAAAGACAGTGAAAGTACTAAAGAGACATACTAAGCACGTTCAGGCTGATTGGAGAGATAGACAATTAGTACGACATCGGTTGTTTTAATTTAGCCTTCCTAACATACGCAGCAGAGAAGATTCCAAGGTAGCGCACCTGGCATACTTTCAAGTCAGTAGAACATGGAGACTGCGATAAAAAAAGCTACATACACTGAGATACACGAATGTCATTAGGGACCAGCGTTGCCTCTGGAATGAAGTATACTTTCATGACTGTGCCTTTGACATGATACCTTGCTCACCCAGACCAATTCGACCTATAAAACCATTCTTAGCGGGATGGCGGCTCCAGTCATAGCGTCGACATACCTCTTGTCCGAATGTAAGTGCTGCAAATACTTGTGAGATATCTGCAGTCCTTTGATATCAAATCACGCTCACCCCAATCGTACATCAATCCAACGAATGCAGCAACTGCGGAAGTTCATAGCCAAGGTTAAGTTGAGACATCAGCTTCAACATCTGACTGCTCTCTACGAACCGACAAAATAGCTGTCAAAATGATTTGCATTGATAGCCAGCCACAGAGTAGGATCATTTAAAATTATGGTCATGTTGGTAGAGAATGGATGTTCGTGAGAAAAGAACTTGGCGGGCATATGGCGATAGCATATATACCACCATCCAATCCAGTGCATCAAAATGATATTGAAAGATGAGGACCATTCCTCGACGGGCAGAACACTTTACATAACAGTGACATGCAGAATCTTGGATCTGCATCATGGAATGCGGTGCTGACAGGGTATCGGCTTGCACAGCCAGAGATAACCCAGTTGGGAATGACTCGTGGATATAATATTGTCATCTCTAGGTTCAAACAGCGCTGAGAGGACATGGGTAAGAAAACCCCAAGGCAGTGACATCCTGTTGGCACAAATTGGGTCGTCATCAGAAAAGAACGAACTAAGAAAGTAGCTTCACTAGTACTGTGCTGTACAGTCGGATACGAAGAAGAGGGAATCAAAGTAGACGGATTACTTACCTGCACAACCTCTCAATGAACAATCCGTGCACATTGATCATCGGCCTATGCATGCAAATAGATGGGAAGTGTGATACACAACACGTGCATTTGATGGGATGAGGATGCATCAATTGTCACACACATCAGGGTTTTCGACATTTAGGGGAGGTTTATATGTTGTGCAAAATGCAAAGAAAATATTTGAAATTTAAACTAACATAAAGGTGGGCACATAACTTCAAATTTCATCAGTGTTTTGTGTCAAATCCAAAATTTGAAGCATCCGCAACCATTTTCCCACAATTATACGTTAATAAAAATATGAAATATAATCAGATTTTCAGCGTCTGCGTGAATTTGAAGTTTAATCATCACGTGAAACGTTGGACAAAACTTAAAGTTTAGTCCACCACAACACGTTTGTCAATGTATTAAATTTTGTCCAACAATTAGACATCCCTATAAATTTGAAGTTTAAGGTGATGACAAAACATGATGACTAAACTTTAAGTATTGTCTGCAGATAAAATGAATCGCCTGCTCATGGCCCAATCATTGCCCACTCATTGCCCACCCAGAGTTCTTAAGGAAGGTGAACCCATTGATGGGTAAGTGTGATGAACCAGCTGCGATTTCATGAAAATTCAGACTAGAGTCGGCTGGTACGGGAGAGAGCAAGTGTACAACACATGTTCAATTTCGACTATTGTAACATGGCACTAAGATCAATCCTGTTTGATAGCAGTTAGACACTGATGCTGATGATTTTAAGAATGACTGTACTTACACGACATAGAGATAGTATGGCAACATGATCACTCAAAATCTGCCATTGAGCAAAGTGACCAATAACCCAAGATACCTTGATGGTTTCTAAGTAACTACTTAAGTTCAACGAATACAATTTTGCGGGAAAATCGGGATACACAGCAAATGGATCAATAGTGTGGTTGTGACGATTGAGTGGGAGCTGTCTGAGTACAGCAAACACCAGTTCACCTGTTGGCATAGCATAGATATGGTGAATGCTGCCAGGGACAGGAGATGTTAACTGGTCGCCCTGAGGATAAAAAAAAACTTGACTATTCCCAATATGTGTAGAGGCTCTGCTGTAGATAACACTGTTGAATTTTAGTCTTGCACACAATACTGCCTTTTGTCATTTGATAAGTGCATACAAGTCTTTGGGTACGGCAACAGGTAGAGTGGAGGAGGGAACCTGTACACTATCATCCAAAGGATCTTCAACAAGTTCTTCATCGAGGCTTGCAATGCTCTTGGGAGCATACATTCTGTCAAACAGAACTTTGCATTCTTGAATAGCTGGAGGACAATCTGGTCGACTGAGCCAACAGCAAAGCTTTGTAGTCTTGATAAAAGAGTGTAGCATCGTAGCTTCCAATTTGCCTTGCAAAAAATCAGTCCATGACACTCCAACTGACATTCCATAATGACCCGCCTGATTTATGATTGACCGGAAAATGTTGCAGTATTCCAATTGAATGTTGTAGTGATGGTCGCGGTGTTGGGCTCGAAACCATGTATTTTCATACTCATGTCAACACCCGAAACATATGCGCACATGTCCGATGCACTTTCGCACATGTCCAAGCCACCCTGTATTGGATCCAGTGGATCGGACCTTCGGACATCACATTGGCCGATTGCACTTCGTGCGCACTTGTCCATACCGTATCCTGTCCATCCAAACTAGCCTCACTAGGTGTGTAGCTATTCCCGTGCACATTATCTGACATTCGGACCGTGTTATTACACGTCCACAGCACCTCGTGTCTTATTACATAGGACATCGGACCCGAAATATATTGCTACTATCTTCGCCTGTAGTATTCCAGATTTCTATGTACTTACTTAAATTAGTGCTGCCACAGTCCGGTTCTCTGCGGTTCAGTCCACAGTTCTCACACCAGCCAGAACCGGACCAGAAAATGGTTCTCGGTTCTAGGTCTTCCCCAACGGTCCTGTTCTGGTTCGGCCTTGCCAAACCATTCCAAACCATTATCGACTTTGACTTTGACTTTGACTGTGACAACTTCGGTCTCCACATCAAACTGTTGTCTTCGGGATTCGCACTACTGGTTAATCAGGCTACCTTTAGCCTTTTTGAAGGTAAGTACTAATCAATCAAACTCTCACATGACTTGCTGTCACAATGTGCTGCTAACTCAATTTTCAACCAACTACTACTGGCAGAACAGAATCATGTGTTGTCAAGGCACGCATCATACTCATGGAAGCATCGGCACCAGAACAAACGACTGCACAACCCATCACATGCCATGCCACCTGCGCCTATGTTGATTTATGTATGTTTGTACTATGTATATCACTGACAAGCATCTTCGCTAGTGCTCAGCATTCATTTCTGTGTGCTCGTGCACATCTATGACCACCACACTGCATCTGATGCCACCAGCACCATGCACAAACGCCCAACATACGCCAGCAAGTGCTGACATGGCACGAATGCTTACGGACGACACCAGGACGCCGAAGATGAGAAAAGGATGAGATGCGGCACTCATTCTCATTCTTGCTCGCACGCAGTGCATGTAGACTCGACTCTGGATGGGGAGTTGCAGTGAGTGAGTCTGTCAATCCTCTTTCAAGCTTGAGCCATGCTGATCCAAGTTGTTGCCCACCATTTGCAGTGAATGAATGTGTTGATCCTCCTTCGATTCGAGCCATGCTGATCGAAGTCTGCTGTTTGCAGCGTGTTGATCCTCCATCGAGCTTGAGCCATGATGATCGAAGTCACTGCCTGCCATTTGCAGTGTCTTAGTGAGTCCTGTTTTACAATTTTTTTTTCATATTTCTAACTTAATATTTATATGTACTACCTGTGGATAAACCCTGCATGGGTCAGGTCTTGCCCACTATCTCTTGCCCTCTGTCTCTTGCCTGCTGTCTCTCACCCTGCTGTCTCTCACCTGCTGTCTCTCACTCAGGATGCGCATGTGTTTTCTCCCTGTTCTGAAATGATGCCATCCTCTGTCTAAGCATCCAGCATGCAGCCTTCATTGCCAAGAACTGCACCGTCCTCACTTCCTACTTTCACGTTCCTCCTGGCACGTCAGCATCTTCAGCAGCTACAGATGCAGAGATGGGTATGTAGTCATGTCATTGGAGTAGCTACTCAATGTGTAAACTAGTATTCCAATGTTTTTTTTTCGCGCTTGCCACTGAAAATTTTCGGGTTCAGTTCGAGTTCGGACCAGAAAAAAACCGAACCAGACCACAGAGAACGGTTCTCTGTGGTCCGGTTTGGGGTTTGAAGATTTTGCAGAACCGGACCACGGTAGCACTAACTTAAATACTCTGTAGTGACCCGTAGCAATCATCATCCAGTAGTTAGGAGCTGTTTCCTGACTCTGTGGATCACCCAGAATATTCTCGTAGTTCTTAGTTGCATTGCGAAATATTACCGTTCATTCACCGTCATACTCCATCACTCGTTATACTCGCACATACTACTTGCAACCCAACACTCATTATAAAGTTTCCGACCTATTATCGTGAAGTATGAAAGTCCGAAATCTCGGACATCGCACTTTGGCTTCGGACATTGGATAAGTACCTTTGGACATCATTTCACACCATCAGACATTCTGTTCTTTGCATTATTGACGCATTTTTACTACTAATACCAATTAGCAATCCCTTTAGGATCGAACGCACTTGCTCTGCAAGTATAGCAGCATAGGTTGTGCTAAGATCTACCTAAACATTGTTGACTAGGTAGTACAATTTCTGCTGAGCCCAGCGGAGATTTACTCTTTACAATGTTCAAAAGGAAAGCACCACCAAGAGTGAGCAGGGCCAAATAGAAGTAAGTAGTCATATATGTGGAAAGCAGTGTGGTGATTGGGACACAATGTAAAAGTGGGGTGTACCTTCATCAAATTTCCAACATAACGTGCAATGTGGGAACAATAAGCATGTGCTCTATCTGCAGTCGCTGTTCAGGCACACACAACATATACTGCACAAACAAGTTCCATCGTATGATCGAGAATGGCTCTAAGGAGGGTACCAACTTCATCGGAAGGATGTGAGGTGCCAGCCCCCCACAAACTGACAAGAGCGATGGGAATGTAGACAGTGATTAGTGAGTGCCACTTGTCAGCTTTGATCGTCCTGGCAGATGCACTTCCAAAATTGCTCGGGACTGATCCAAACCAAGTTGGAACGGTCATCTCCTGGATGAGCACATCTGGAGACACAAACTGATGTTCCTTCTGGGGAGCAGCAAAAGGTTTTCCGCGGCACTAAAAACTAACTTAGGAAACTTGCAAAAAGGGAATAATACATTTAAGAACTTACCCATTCTACAAGGGCCTTAGCATAGTCAATTTTAAACATTCTACCAGATTTCCGGGGAATGCATTTCAAGACACTGCAAACAAACTTGAGAGGTACCACATTCTTGTGGGACAGAGAATTCTTTAGCTTGTCAAGGTCTTCATCTAGCTTGTCGCCAGAAGAAGACAGCTGCAAAACAAGAAGTGTGTGTATAGCAGAGACCTGAGTCATCTCTTTGGTTGTCATCATCCCCAGCAGCACTTCAAACATGTCGCATGAAAAGGCTGGGGCTAAAGTTGATGAGATGGGTGTAGTCGCTGTAGTCAGGCTGAGAAGGTTACGGGTATGATGCTGAACTAAACCTTCCAGTATGCAGTGCATTGGGTCAACAACGAGCTGGCATGAAGGATCCCAGTATGGCAAATGCCACATCTCTGAGTAACGGACACCATGATTTTTGGATAGCCTCTCACATTCCGAGGTTGTCGCAGCATCCCTCCACTGCTCAGCAAACTTCCAAAGTCTGTCTTTATCCTGAAGTTCCCAACTCTTGAAGTCCACTCTACCATATGTGGTCTTGTGGTAGCAGTTGCATGTGCTACAATAGAAGTGGCTATCTGTTCCAGCCAAAGAAGC